ATCCAACAGGGGATGTGGATCGAGCCATCAAATTCAAGGCAAGGAACTATGTCTTGTTGGATGAGGTCTTATTCAAAAGGAGACCAGACGGTTTACTGTTGAAGTGTTTGGGGGGCAAGGAGGCCCTACAAGCCATGGGTGAGGTTCATGAAGGGATATGTGGTGCTCATCAAGCAGGCCCTTCTATGAGATGGGTACTCCACCGGTATGGGTACTACTGGCCATCCATCGGGGAAGATTGTGCCGCTTTTGCTAAGGGGTATGAGGCTTGTCAACGACATGGCCCGGTGCAAAGAGCTCCGGCCATCGACTTGAAGTCTATCATCAAGCCTCGACCTTTCGTTGGATGGGCCATGGACTTGATTGGGAAGATTTATCCACCATCTTCTGATAGACATACGTTTGTCATCTTGGCAACTGATTACTTCACTAAGTGGGTAGAGGCCAAGCCAATGACAGTGGTCAATCAAGGAGAAATCATCAAGTTCATCAAAGTGAATATAATACATAGGTTCGGCTTGCCAGCCACCATAACAGCTGGCCAGGGTACCGTGTTCACAGGAGGGGAAGTGATGGCTTTTGCCGCAGAACACGGCATCAAAATCATACACTCCACTCCTTACTACGCTCAAGCCAATGGTCAAGTTGAAGCATCCAACAAGGTGGTGAAGGGTATACTGTCTAAGATGATTGAAGATAACCCGAGAAAGTGGCATGAAGTCTTGTTGGAAGCCTTATGGGCTTATCGGATGTCACCATGTAGTAGTACAAAGGTCACCCCTTTCTCTTTGACATATGGCCATGAGGCCTTCCTGCCACTCGAAATAATAGTCAAGTCATTGAGGTACATGAGGCAACATGAGTTGACACCCTCAGAGTACTATGAGTCGATGATGTTGGAATTATGTGATCTTGATGAACTCCAACTCAAAGCACTCGACAACATCAGAGTGCAAAAGGACAAAGCAGCTCGCTCTTACAGCAAGAGGGTTAAGCACAAGTCATTTGAAGAAGGAGAGCTAGTCTGGAAACTACACTTGCCGATTGGGGAAAAGGATCCCAAGTTTGGCAAATGGTCTCCCAACTGGCGTGGACCCTTCATTGTCCATGCCACCCGACCCAATGGGGCCTACTTGTTAAAAGATTTAGATGGTGTGTTCCATGATCGATTGATCAATGGTAAGTATCTCAATCCCTACATCCCTTCTCTTTGGGACTTGGGGTGTCAAGGGGTTCTATGTTAATAGGCCACCATGGTGGCCGGCATGCCAAGCCTCCCACACCCTAAGGCATGGCATGATACCCCCATGATGAAGTATGGCTTGAACAGCTAGCCATGACATGGAGGGTATATTGAGACAGAAGTATAACATTGAGAGTGAAGGGGGTGAAGACAAGTAGATTGGTATCACGCTTCATCGATAACAAAAATAAAATTTATTACTAAGGCAATGAAAGAACATCCCACCAAGGGCAAATACTAAAGGCCGAGTCATCTGAATACAAAAAAAAAAGCCAAATCCATGGCTAAGCCGAGCGTCTTAAATCGTGAAAGCAAGCTAACAGGAAAAAAAATGAAGTATGGATGATTTAGCCAGGCAGGTGATGGAGAGCCTCTTTGACTATATCTCGCAGCTTGAGGAAGGTAGCAAGATGGGTGTTGGATACAAAGATGGCTTGTTCCTTCTCCCGAGCTAGTTGTGTCGTAGGAGTCATTGGGCCCATTGTTTCCTTGAGGCTATGAGCTTTTTCCACTAGCTGTCGGAAGTCTTGAGACATGGGAACATGTTGAGCCTGGTCCTCGGCAGCCTCTGCATGAAATTGGGCAAGCTCTTTCTCGAGTTCAGCTATCTTGGCTTGGCGAGCTGCTTCCCTTGCTTTGAAACCAATAAGAGCATCCTTCATAGTCTTGCAATCAACAGTCATTTTGGTGTAGTTGGCTTGGATGGATTCCTTGTTAACAACTTGATTTTGTTCGTGGATAGCTTTCTCCATTGCTGATATGCTGAAGCCGAGACTATTCCTGGCTGCTTGTAAAATGGACATCTTATTCATGTCAAGTCCTGGCAATGGGTTGAGCACAACAAGGCTGGATAGTGACTCAAGAGCTTGTCTAGGCCAGTGATTCTTGGAAGCCATGATTGCCTGTTGGGGAGTGAGTGAGAGGTACTGGTCCAGCTCAGTGAGGGCAGCACGTGTGACTTCAGTAGAGGGGGCCACGAATTGGACTTCCTCACCAAGTGATTCCAAGTTTTGAAGGAGCTCGAAGCTTTGGTCGAGCGAGCTTAGATCCTGTAGTGGTGTTTAATACGTTAACAAGCCGATTTATAAAAAAGAAAGGGAGGAGGGTAGACTGTGGTGCTTACGAGGGCTGGAGTAAGGGCACCAGTGTTGGTTTGGAATTCTGGTATGGTGGAGGAAGAGAATATAGCCCGCTCGGTCTCAGCCATGTTAGTAGTGGATGGTCCGCTGCTAGATCCTTGTAAAGTATGTTGAGTATCATGGTGTTCGGTAGGCAGTTGATAGTCTTCCACTTGCAGGCTGCTATCCATGTGCTTGTTGTTGAAATCTCCTTCCAATGTATTGCGCAGATTATGCTCCATGATGGCCAGGTGGGAGACATGGGGTTGATGGCTTGTAGAAAACAGATTGGTGGCAGGAACGTGGATTGAAGCCTCACTTGGCATTAGGGGTGCCAATGAAGAGGATGATCCTGTAACCAACTTATCAAACACAAGAGTGCCTGTAAGGTGTGATGGTGCCAACATGGATGTCATGACCTCATTGGAGCTTGACGTCATAGGGAGAACCGTAGGAGATGACCGAGGCATGAGGTTCTCTGCCAAGGGGGTGCTCGGGGATGATGACATAGCAGGGTTAATGTGGGCAGTAGCTTGAAGGGGCGCCTGAGGCTGGTCAACAGAAGTCATGTCCTCGTTCATGTCATCCACCCATCCGCAATGATCGCTTTGAGTATCCTCCTCCATTGATTCCTCTACTTCAGATGAGCTAGCTTCAGAGTCGAGATCAACTACGGAAGGCTACAAGGAGATGGTTGTTTTTTTTAGTTCACACAGACACTAAGGAATGAGATTGAGGTAAATAGGATAAACATGAGTAACTCACCTTTTTATCCTGAGTTCTTGGCTTTTTGACGCTCTTACCACGAGCCTTGAACGCCACGGAGGCTAAAAAAAAAGGATTTTAATAATGGCTTGGATTCATTCAAACCAAGTATGACAAGCCAATGACTGATGGAGACTTACATGGTCGACGTTTCATGGAAGAGGAGGATGATGGAGCCATTCTAACCAGTTCGTAGTGGTTTTTGGTGGTTTCTCTTGAAAAACCCTCGTGAAGGAAGATGGCCCAACTCGACGTGAAAGGAAAGGGGTGAAAGTCTCTAGCTTGTCCATCGTGTAGAAGATAGTGAAGTATTCGACGAAGTCTTTGCCCAATGGTTCAGCTCGTATGTAGTGGTGACCATATGAAGCTGGCAGGGTGGCGTCAGGCATCGTGTCTATCGATGGCAATGGCTTGCATAACATTGGGAAGTAAGCATAAAGCCATAGAGATACTAGCCAAAGAGGTCCAAAGCCCGTTACATTCTTGGTGCCGGATGTCACTTGAGTGATGAGAGAATGCATGCCATAGTAGAGGTTGGCAAGGATGATGTCCGGGAAGTCAGCAACGGGGTCACCTTCAGCGAGCTGGTGGGATAGGTATGACAGGGTCTTGCGCGGCCCCGGGGTGTGTGGGCTTATGATAAACTTGTAGAGCCAGTAATGGATGAAGCATGCACGTTCTTCGTCGGTGATAGGCTCGATAGTGAGCTTTCGAAATTTCTCATAAAGTGCTGTAAACGAAGTCGGGGCAATATTGGCTCTTTGAGGGCGTTCTTCCTGAGGGCCAGGCAAGAAAGTTAAGCCGGTGAGAGCTACCACGTTCATGAGGGTGACAGTCATGGCACCAAGGGGGAAGACAAAACAATTGGAGCCAGTTGACCAGAAGCACAATGCTGCTTGAAAGAGTTGGGGATCAGGGTCCCGCATCAGGGTGGTCAAGGATAACAGTCGAGATATGCCAGCATCACCCCATAAGTTGGTGGTGGTTTTGTCCTTCTTGAGTCTTCGATACCAAGTGTTGAAGTCAGTGTCTCTTTGGGGCCATGATCTCATCAATTTCTTCTGCTTATGGAGTGTGAAGAAAGGAGACGGCTTTGGGTCGGCCTTGAAGAGCAATTGGCTGCCGCCTAGTGGGTACAGGTTAAGTTTCTTGGCTTCCGGAGATTTGAAATTGGAGAAGAAAGGACCCAGCTTGCCAGTCTTGTCATCCTTTATGGACAAGTATGTAAAGTTTAGGCCGGGTTCTGCCTTCAATGCACTGAGTTGCTTGCGGTACTCTCGAGTGGCTCTAGAGATCTCCTTCTTTTCTTTTTCCCTCTCGGTGTCACTCATCCTACAAGAGAAACGATGAAGTAGGATTAGACACATGCTTCAACGGGGGTAAAAAAAATAATAATAATAAAATGGATGGCGGCCAAATAAAAAAAAAATTTGATGGCGGCCATTAGTGGTGATGGAGAATTTTTCTCTCACCTTGCTTTGCTTGCTTGAAGACCACGTTGAAGTTGAGAGCTCTTGTTGGAATGTAGTATGTGGAAGTATGTGAAGATGTGAAGAATGAGAAGGATGTGAAGATGTGAAGTCTCTATTTGATGGCGGCCATTAGTGGTGATGGAGAATTTTTCTCTCACCTTGCTTTGCTTGCTTGAAGACCACGTTGAAGTTGAGAGCTCTTGTTGGAATGTAGTATGTGGAAGTATGTGAAGATGTGAAGAATGAGAAGGGGAGGTCTCTATTTATAGAGTTAGAGGAAACTTTAATGAGAAAGTCCTTTGCAATTATGGAAATGATTTGATTGCATTAGAATCCTAGAAGGGAAAGGAAACAAGAATCCTAGCCAAACATGGTATAAAAAAAAATCAAAAGTCAAATATATATAATGGAGGACTTGCCGCCGTGGAGGAAAGAAAAAAGGGCTCCGCCTGTTTGTTTCTCTGTAAAGTCAATTGAATTATAAAAAAAAAAGAATGGCTAAGTGGCTAGGGTGGGTGGCGTGTATAGTATAGGAAGGGTGATTGGTGATTAGTCACCAAACCAAAGCAGTTACCCTAGCCATGCACTTAATTCCCTTCCAGAGCACTGTGTTCTCAATAAATAAATAAATAAACGAGAAGAGTACATTTAACAAACATGGCAAGCTCAATGGTGTTGGCTTTGAAACAAGTATGATAACGAGGCCAACAAATGGCTTGAGATGGAATAGTTGATGTCAAAACTACTTAGTCCATAGTCCTCATGCACTAAGTAGTTGGGGGGCATTTGTTTACCACTAAAAAAATCACTCAATACCACATTGATTATTTTCAAGGAGTGGTAGTGATTTATAACGCCAACTTAACCATATTAATTAAATTGGTGTAGGTTGGGCCTAAATAATGGTATTTTGGGCTTCATACCATGTCAAGCGTTGACACCCTTCAACATCAACCACCCAAGTGGGCACCCCACCATACTTAGCCTAATTTTCGAGTTACCAGTCGCCTACCTACCTTGCGGGTAATTACCCCTAGACATGATGGGTCGAAGAAAGCCAAAATTTGGCTAAGTGTTGAGACCCACAACACAAGGGGGGTCATGCATGACATCGCACAAGGGGGTTCATGCATGACACCATCCAAGGGGGTCAAGCACAAGGGGGGTCAAGCATGATACCATCCAAGGCGAGTGGAGTATGACGAGACACGAGCTAGCTGTGGTAGCAAAGAGGGCCAAAATTTGGCTAAGTGTTGAGACCCACAGCACAAGAGGGTTCATGCATGACACCATCCAAGGGGGTCAAGCACAAAGGGGGTCAAGCATGACACCGTGCAAGGAGGCCAAAATTTGGCTAAGTGTTGAGACCCACAGCACAAGGGGGGTCAAGCATGACACCGTGCAAGGAGGCCAAAATTTGGCTAAGTGTTGAGACCCACAACACAAGAGGGGTCATGCATGACACCATCCAAAGGGGTCAAGCATGATACCATCGAAGGGGGTATAGCCGCCTACCAGGTATCAAAGCGTGTGGCAAGGGGAGAAGGGCAACGCAAGTCACTAGACCATGATGGGGAAGAAAGCCAAAATTTGGCTAAGTGTTGAGACCCACAGTACAAGAGGGGTCATGCATGACACCATCCAAGGGGGTCAAGCACAAAGGGGGTCAAGCATGACACCGTGCAAGGAAGGCGAAAATTGGCTAAGTGTTGAGACCCATAGCACAAGGGGGGTAATGCATGACGTCGTCCAAGGGGGTCCTAGCACTAGGGTGTCAAGCTTGGCAGCCAAGCAAGGCGACAAGGCTCAATACCAACCCGATCCAACATCGAGGCCATCAAGCACCCACCAACCCCAAGACGGGCCAAGGAGCTCAAAGGCAATGGAGGTGAAGACCAAGACAACGGTTACCAAGGTGGTTACCAAGGTGGTTACCAAGGCAGTTACTCCTAGTGGCTATAAATAAGAGAAGCGAAAACGGGAAAAGGGTTCCACAACCAATCATTTGACACACGATGTCAAAATTTATCTTTTCCCTGCAAATCAGCTTTTAGTTTTCGGAGCTCTCACTGAACCTCCATAGGAGTAGAGTAACGTAGCTTGTTCCCAAAAAACCATCAAAACATCAAACACCCTCGTTCGAACATTGTTCGCAGAGGAGTGAACCGTGTAATTATCGTTGTTCAAGAAGTCAAAGGTGCATTTATTGAGTTCAAACACCAGTTTTTCCTCGCCGGAAAACACCATCATTTGAATTTAAGCAAGCCACACAACATAGCAATTCAATGTTCACCTCATCAAAACGGTTGTTAAACTCTTATAACGACATATCCACAACTGTGTAAAATAACTCAACCTTGTAATGATGCATATTTGTGATCTATTAAGCATTTCTCCTTAATCTTCCCGAAACATATAAATCATCCTCGACAGGGCATTCCATAGAGCAAATCTGTACTCCTCTCTATGATCGTCGATCTATTGGGTTGTAGTCATAATGTAGCCCCCTCTTAGAAGTCCTCTTGGAGAAGTAACGAATGTGTACCTCAAAAGGTTGTCAACCACCAACCATGCTGAACAAAGCTACCAGTTGTTCGGAAAAGCATTATACAAGATCATGTAATTGGTGGTCACCTTCCCAATATCTCCTTTCTGCCTCATGTGAAAGTTGGTTCGGCCAGTGCATGAACTATAGGAATGGCAGCCAAATGCACGGTGGTGGTGAATAGCCAACAGCAAACTCAGCCTCCTGGCTCCTTGTTATGGTCTTTCATAGCTCTCGGATAATCATTGTCTACATTATGGGCTGCCAATAAGCTCCAAGAATAGAGTTAGAGAGTGCTCCTCTCACATGATAGGATGGAATCTCTAGCTTCACAATGAAGCTATCATAACTATTGTTGAAGTGTCATCCCGCCAGCCTATATGAGATGCATCTCTGGCTCGAGTCCCTTGTTGGGGGTCCTGGAACTCTCTCGTGAGCACGTCATTTCTCTATCCTCTGATGTTTTTTTTTTTTACAAAAGATAATCATATATTGATTGAACAAAATAGACAGTTACATCCTGGAACTCATCCAGGCTTGATAATCAAACAAACGACTTGTAGTCGGGTACAAAGACATGGCTTTTCGAGTCACCAAATGAGCTACCCTATTGTTACGCCAAAAAGCTGAACCACCTCCTCAAGAATCGACCCCATTCGATTATCCCTAACATCCCGCCGAAGAATCTATTCTCTGATGCTGAATAGTGACAAGAGACCAATCTTATCAAGTCTATTTCTCATTGCTACTCCCCATCCTTGGTACAGGTCGAAGTTTGGTCAGCTAATCTCTCCTTGGGGGTCAACTAGTATGTATCTCTTCTTGGCACTGAAACTTCCATAGGGAAATTGGAGGAAAGTATGCAAGGGTGCCTTTGGTGTATTCTCTCTTATCTCCAACTCGTTGTTAGTCTCAAACACCTCTGCTCTTGGTGGCAGTCGTCCACTCCTGATTCTTGACCTCCTGCTATCAAGTGATAGCCTTTCACTATTATTGCTAAAGGAGATCTAAACGAACCGATATTGAGAACTCGAGTTCCTCGAATCCTCCTCCTCTTCTTTCTCGATCACTGACTCCCTCCTATTGAGTCGTGCAGACCGTCAAGGTGTTGCATACTCTGGGCTCCACTCATGGTGGACCAGGATGTCGTGGCCCTCGTGAAGAAGAAACACCACCATCTCCCTTACTCTTATGCTTATTAAGCCATCCAATTATGTGATTCTTCATTAATCTGCTGAATAGAAAAGCAACAAAGTTAGTAAAATAAATAGGGAATAACCCCACACTTTAAGATAGAGTGGTTTGGATTTGGTATTTGCGATTTGGATTTCTAAATGTCAAATCATGTGTTTGGATATTAATTACATTTAGTATTTAGATTTGTGCCAAATTCATGGGGTGATTTCCAAATACATGTCTAGTGTATTACTTGTCAACTTCAAAATTCAAATGCATTTCAACAACTAGTGATTTGAAATACCTCCTAGCAAAAGATTGGACCAATTTGTAAAATGTTAAAAGTTTAGGTACTATAGTGTGAGTCAAAACATATAAAGGTACCAAAATGTAATTTTATCATCAAAATTTCTGTAATTTACCAAAATTTTAAAAGTTTAGGTACCTAATTGTAAGAAAAAATAAATTTAGGTACCAAACTGTAATTTACCAAAAATTGTAGTAAGTGACCAGAAAATTCAAAATGAGAATAAAAAACTATAAAATTTAAAATACAAACAAATTACAAATGAGCATCCAAACAAGGAATTTGAATTACATTTATTTCAAATGAATGCATTTTAAATACTAGTATTTCAAATACATTACATTTAAAATACACCTATCAAAACGCACCGTAAGGCAATAAGCCATCGACCTGGATAAGCAAAATTAGCGGCACAATTCAATACTCATTTCGAACAGGACAAAGAAAAAGCTTAATGCACAAATCCGTCATCATCTTCACCACCCCCTCCTGCTCCTGGACAACCGACGCCTCCACTGGCGAGAGTGGGAGCGGTTGTCGTCTGTGGCCGAGTAGTGCTAGGGGTGGGCGTTGATGCGGTTTGGCCTGCACCACACTGTATTAATATAAACCGCACCGCATGTTGGACCACATTGTAAATGAAGCTGTCAAACCAAACCGCATAAATTAGCAATTTGGTGCGATTTATACCGCATAGCATATTTGACGGCAATTTATTATAAGTGATAGATAACTAAAAGCTAAATCAACCTTCACTTACCAACTAGGAACCTTTCAATTTACTGGCCAGACCATAAGAGAACGAACAATTAGGCTAAAAAATGAATAATTAATTGGTTAGATATTTTTCGAAAGAGTTGAGGCGGCGTAAGGAAAGAGGAGGTCCTCGCAAAAGAGAAGGAAGAACTTCGGGTTGCCTTGGAACAGAAAAATACGCTCGATAGACAAATGGCGGTTTATGATCAAATGGTGAAAGATCTGGAGCCTGGAGTAGAAGATTACCTCCGTCGTGGAATTTATGAAGTATCAAAAGCTAGAATGAGACAAATTGCAGATGGAGCATGGTAAAGTGACAAGAGAGGCAGAGGAGCTGAAGAAAAGCAGAGCATAGCAGGCTTCAACTTCAACAGAACCCATGACCCAATTATCACTGGTGTTCACTGAATTGGAGATCAAAGAAGTCACCGACAACTTTGCTGAATCGGCCAAGATAGGAGGGGAAGATGGGAGTCGCTGTCTTCTTTCAGTGATAAATGGAGAGCTTTGAGAGAATAGAAGCGGCGGCAACAGCAGCGGAAGGAGAAGAAACAGAGTACTAACATGAAAATAGAGTGTGTTGGCAATCATCAATTTCAAGAGAAAATAAGGGACCATAATTTTCATTTGAGAAGAAGAAGAAGAAGAAGAAGAAGTGACTTGAAGCTCTGGTGAGAAAAGCTTGTTTCTGTTTGTAATGGCGAATTCTCTCTCTCTCTCTCTTTTTTTTTTATCAAAGTTGGTTTCCTACATATTTTTTTCACTTTTTCCGTGAGGTGGAAACTGCTCTGTTTTGGCTTTCTTCAATAGTAAGAGAAATTGAGATGAACTGATAAACCCATATCTGGCAAAGAAAGAAATAGGGGGAAACTGCTCTGCTGCACTTTGCCATGGCGGGCATTGCTTATGATCATGCTAATTGCAACAGTACCAATTGGGAAGCAGTAGTAATTCCCAGAAGGCAAGCGAGCAGGAGATCGTTGTGGTCGGACATGGATTCCGCTGCCGATTACATGTAAGTAGCCCTCTCCTAAGCTGAGCAATATAATCATTTACTAGGCTGCAAATCATTTACGGTTTGAAGTTTTGAACCGCAACAGTGTGGTTTTTGGATTAATCCGACTGCAAATCGCGAGCCGCTAAAAATTCAGACCATATTGCGGTCCAATTTGACTTGATCTTAAAAGCGATTCGGTGCCGTTTGGAGAAGTTTGACTGCACCAATGCCCACCCCTAAGTAGTGCGGATCAGAAGAAGAAGAAGTAGGCATGGATCTCCGGGGAAAGAAATCAAGGCTTGGATCGACGATTGTGTAAGGAGTAAAGATTGTTGGGAGGACTGCTCTGTTTTGGTGGCAGGGAAACAAAGTCAATGTTATTTAATTACGTACAAACCAAAATGAATTGCGGTCAAAATGTCGTGCATTCTAAATCATACCAAACCGTTAACTTATGCGATTTGGTTGCACTGCACCAATAATTTTGCGATCGAACATGCAGTGCGGTCCGATTATGATGTGGTGCGGTGTGATGCTGTCCTAACCGCACTAATGTCCGCCCCTGCCTCATTTTAACCTCCACTCCATTCCATTCCACCACATTAGCATGTTATTACAAATGTTCACATGACTATGTGATTTATCGGTTATATTGCACATACGAAGATGTAGCCTTGACAATTGTGATGATGTCCTTTATCATAATTTTTTTGAAATGATTGTTTAATATAGTAGAATATTGGATTAATAAATTAAACTAACTCAATAATTTGCGCAGGAAAAAACTATTGAAATTTGTTTAAAACGGAAAAGAAAAGAAGAACACCAAGCCCTTGCTGAAAATTTCCTGCTTGACAATATTTGAGGAGGAAAAACACTAAGCCAGAAAACAACTTTGTTTTTCTTTGGCTAAATTACATGTTTGGTCACTCAAATTACGTAAATCTTTCACGTTTGCCACTCAAATTACTTTTATTTCTAACTCGCCACTAACTTTACGAATCGTTTCACCATTAGTCACTGACCGCTAGTCTCCGTCAAAGTCCGTTAACACTGTCAATTTTTTTATGACATGGCAAACAGACTTGTTGAATTGGCTGTCAAGTTGATGAGTCATGCAATTGATCACCTAGTCCGCCACAGCCACACCCACACCCACAATACCCAACCAAACAAACAAACAAAAAAAGCCTAAAGAACTAATAAACAAAACCCAACCCAACATTAACCTTAACCCTCTCGGTTTTTCCCCTCCTTCTTCTACCTTCTGCCGGCAAACAAGACCAGGGAGACAAGAGGGCTCGACAACATCTCCTTGCTCTTCCCTCCCATCCCCGACAAGTAGAAAAGAGCTGTCGCACTGCTCCGCTTCACCTCTGCCTCTAGCAACTCTGGTTCCGCTTCTCCCTCTCCGGCTAATTAGTTCCGAGTACTGCCAAACTGTCCCCGTCGCATCGAATTCGGCAGCCCAGAGAATCATCCAGCAGAATCAGCGGCATATCGAAACCGGCGATCTAGTCGACGAGTTCAGGGACGGTGACGATTAGTTTCAGATTGGAATCGCTGGTTGGAGATTTGGCCGACTGTGTATGCCGGGTTGCAAGTAGTCGCGGCAGCATTGGGGGAGGAGATTGCGAGGAAGCCGAAATACGACGATTGGAATGCTTCGGGCAATCGCCCCCGTGCAGAACAGCAATCGCCGCCACCGTGTGGAAGTCGTCTCTAAAAGCCACCACACCATCCTCCATCGCTTGCTCTACCCCTTCACTTTATCTCACTCATCCTCCTCAACAATCTCATCAGCCCCTCCGCCGCCACTCAGATCTACTCCTCTCCTAGACCACCGGTCATTTCCCGACAGACCCAGACCTCTCACTGACCTCCTTCCTCTTTAGCTCCGCTGCCGTCACCTCATCTCCCGATTTCTCCGCCCTCGTCGACTCAGATTTGGGCGAGACCTTGTCCTTTAGAGAGGTCAGACTCCACGTCACCAAGCTGGCCCACGGTCAAATTGCATGACTCATCAACTTGACAGCCAATTCAACAATTTCGTTTGCCACGTCATCAAAAAATTGATGGGGTTAATGGAGTCTTCCGGAAACTAACGGTTGGTGAGTAACGGTGAAACAATTCGTAATGTTAGTGACGAATAAGAAAGAAAAGTAATTTGAGTGATAAACGTGAAAGATTTATGTAATTTGAGTGACCAAATGCGTAATTTAGCCATTTTTCTTTCTTTTTTGTAATTTTCCCCCGGAAAAAAAAACGCGGTTGAAATGGGTAAAATGTAAAAAAAAAACACAAAAAAAGAAATGTAGTTAATCTCTACTTTACTTCCCAAAAGTAAAAGTATCCATCTAGAGATTTTCTTTCTCGATAAATCCGGGATATCTGTTCAAAATAAAAATGAAAATGAAATTAATCAATTATCCAGTGATTGGACATCCGGGGGAACAGACGTCAGTCGTCACAATGCAACTTTTCTCCCCTTTTATTCCCCCTTTCAGGCTTCTCCTTTAATTTCACTGCACCAAACTATTTCTCTCCACCCCACAGTTGGAGTGAACAAAAAATATCATCAGAGCCCTCCGTCCGTTTCCCTGCACAGAGTCTCGGCACTAGTGGGAGACGGCTGCCTCCATCGTCTCTGCTACGCTCTCCGCCATTGTTTGCAAACGCTAGCAACCTCCAACAATTCCTTCTCTCCCTTCCTCTTCACACCTACAGGTAAATTAACCATCTTGAGCGTTTGCTCTTCTGCCTTCAATTTCCCCCCCTTTTCATGGTGCGGTTCATGAATCTCTAGGAGACTCCTGAATCACAATTCTCAAATTTGACAGAATCTGAAATAGCTCCCCTTAATCTCATAGAAAGACCATAGCCAAGTGATGGAGTTGGAATCGAACACGACGCCTCGTGGCGAAGGAGGACGAGGGATGAGCAAATCGACGAAGAAGGTCCTCCTGATAGTGAACTGCATTCTCCTCTCCCTCGGGAGCGCGTGCGGCCCGCTCGTCCTCCGCCTCTACTTCCTCAAAGGCGGCAAAGGCGTATGGATCTCCGCGGGTCTAGAAACCGCGGGCTGGCCGTTCGTCCTCGTGGCCCTCCTCGCCTCCTACCTCTACCGCCGCCGCACCAACGGGCCTGGGCCGGAGCCCACCAAGGTCTCCTTCATAACCTGGCGCCTCTTCCTTGCGTCCGCCGTGCTGGGCCTCCTGACGGGCCTCGACGACTACCTCTACGCCTCGGGCGTGTCCTACCTGCCCGTGTCGACGTCGTCGCTAATCATCGCATCCCAGCTGGCGTTCACGGCCGTGTTCGCGTTCCTGCTGGTGAAGCAAAAGTTCACGGCCTTCTCCGTCAACGCCGTGTTCCTGCTCTGCCTCGGGGCAGGGGTGTTGGCAATCCACGCCAGCGGGGACAAGCCGGCCAATGAGACAAAGGGTCAGTACTTTATGGGGTTTTTCATGACCGTGGGCGCCGCCGTGCTCTACGGGTTCGTCCTCCCCGCCATCGAGCTCACCTACAGCAAGGCACGGCAGAACGTTACTTATACTCTTGTGATGGAGATGCAGATGGTCATGTCCTTTTTCGCCACGCTCTTCAACGTCGTCGGCATGATCTTCCACCACGAGATCCAGGTCTCTCTTTTATATCCAATCTCTAATCTCTCTTCTCTGCAATAGATTTTTGGGCAAATCGTTAAAATAGTGATGGATGGGGTTTGTTGCAGACAATGCCGAAAGAAGCAAGCGAATTCGAGTTGGGAAAAGTGGGATATTGCATGGTGCTGATAGCAACGGCGCTGGTGTGGCAATGCTTCTTCGTGGGAGCTGTCGGGGTGGTGTCATGTGGCTCTTCTCTGCTCTCCGGGGTGCTCATTGCGACCTTCTTGCCGGTCACTGAGATTTTGGCGGTCTTCATCTATCACGAGCCGTTTGGGGCCGAGAAAGCCATTGCCCTCGTCCTCTCCATTTGGGGTTTCATCTCTTACTTCTATGGCGAGTACAAACACACCAAAAAATCAACGCATACCACCTCGGAATGACGATCGATCATCTCTCTTTTTCTCTAGTTTCAATTCATCCATATATGGCCATTAGAGTAATAGCTTAGCCAGCTAGTAGACAGCTTCTTCTGCCTCCTAATCTTGCTCCCGGGAACTAAAGGCAATTTTATTAATTTAGCCTTTATTACCCATAATCTCGCCATGAAGATTTTGAGTTGTTGATTTAGGAGTCTTGAAAATTTTGAACCATTTATTCCTTTTTCTTTTTCTCGGTAAGGTAATTATCAATTTGCATTGGAACTTATCACCATGGCCAAATATATCCAAGCATTGAATAAATACAGGTCGTATAGCCCACGAGTCACAACAATATAAAGCAAATCCACAGGAACAAAAAAGATAACTACAAAGAGTCTAAACTAAGTAATGAAATTAAAATAAGGCAGACTGTGATTCCCTACTGCAATAGGAGAGGCTAATTTAGGATATAATAATGTACATACTAGACTTCACAACATTAGCAACCATAATGCTCGATAGGAGAGGCTAATTTAGGATATAATAATGTACGTACTAGACTTAACAACATTAGCAACCATAATGCTCGATCTTATACCATTCTCTAACACGCTCCCTCAAACGAAAGTCAACCCATTGCTTGAAATTTGCACAGGCCCACAATATCATGTGCTTTAATCAACGGTTAATATCAGGGGTCGTGGAGATTCGAACACACGACCACTTGACCAAATCAGCTCTGATACAATGTCATAAACCAGTTGTTCCCAATAACTCGAGTTGTTGGGAGAAGGTTATGCTGGATCTTATACCATTCTCTAACACACTATACTTGTATCCGCAAAACATAGCTTTCTACTTAGAGTGACACACGGCACAAAAGGATAAAGAAGAGGAATCGAGTATCACCAGCTGAAGTTGTGTCTGAAACTAAGAGCGACTCTCTTCTTTTGTCACTCAGGGCTGTCTAGTATTGTGACGACGGAGCAATTCGATGGAGACAGGGCCGGTCGGGATGAGGTATTCGTTCATTTTTTTATACATAATAAATGTAGAGGAGGAAACAACAAAGGATTTTAGTGGCGGCGTTGGATACACACGTGAAGTCGCCTGTTTCGTTGGCGAAACTCGCGCGTTCAATGCGCTCTGATTTCAAGGAAACAAAAACCCAAAGTCAGCAAAAAATCTTCAAATATCCGTCGCCGAATGTCGGCGCCATTGATTTGATCGATTAAACAGAAACCAAGATGACTGTCAAATATCCACCGCCGGTGTCGGCGATGTTGATTTGATCAATGCACCCTCGACTTCTAATCAAACAACTGTTACTCGGTTCACACCTCTCCAAACTACGTTCGAACGAGGGTGTTCAACGAGAAACGAGAAACCAAACCGGGAGTGTTCTAAGATACGTTACCTCTACTCCTATGGAGGTTCCTCTGGAGAGCTCCGCAACTACGACTACAAGCTACGACTCTGCAAAGGAGTTCTTTGACAGAGCGGTTCTACAAAACTAGAGAGAAAAAAGATAAATCTGCGTAGGTGCAGTTTGTGATTTGATTTTGCCGTCTCGAACTTCTCTCTCTTCCCAATCTTTATACTTCGCGCTTCTCCTCGTCGTAGTAACCGCCTTCGCGCCTTTGTCTCCCACGTCTTCACTCCTGTCAACCGTGCAGGTAACTTCCTCCCTGTTGTGTAACTCCCACGAGTGCGAAACCGCTTGAGCACGTGGCAACTTGGTCCAAAACGACACTGAGCCAAAATCCACAATTGCTGAACTCTCGTCACGACGTTGTTTTTAATTAAACAACATTGTTTCAGTACCGCGACGGTGTCGATCTCCCACGATGTCGTTTTCGGCTAAAGCGACACCGTCTTAACTGATCCTTAAAATAGTAATTAATTAAACCGGCCATCATTGTTGACACGCTGTCAAACTCTCACTTCGCGGCGCCGTTCTTAATTAAACAGCATCGTTTGGCCCACTCGCGGCATCGCCTTTAAATCCGCGGTGTCGTTCCTTCTTCTTGCGGCATCGTTTTCAACTAAAGTCACCGTGCTAAAAAGTCATTAAAAATATTAATTAACTAATCTGGCCATCACAAGTCCACGACCAACGACATCATTAGCGCCAAAACGGTCCGTTTGTTTTTCCTTTTGCGACATTGTTTTTTATTAAACACTGTCGTTTGCTTGCGGTATCGTTGGGCTTCCTCGCAGTACTGTTTTTAATTCCCCGCGGCACCGTTTTAACTCCTCTTGGTGCCGCTTCTTCCAATCCAACAAGGAATAAAAATAATAATTAATTAGAGAAAACTCCTTCTCCAAAACCTACACTAAAACGCGCGGCCCCTTTTGCTTCCCGCTAAACGGTGTCGTTTCCAGTGCCGCGGTTCCGCTAAGCCTCCTTGCGGTACCGTTTAACTCTCCGCGGTACCGCTTCTCCCCTTCCCACAAGGAATAATAACAATAATAATGATAATAATAATAATAATAATAACTCCTTTTCCAACACCAATACTACGCGCGGCCCACATCTTGCTTCCCGGTAAACGGTGTCGTTTCCAGTGCCGCGGTACCGGTGAGCTTCCTTGCGGTACCGTTTTAACTCTCCGCGGTGCCGCTCAACTCCAAACGACACCGTTTTTTTATCCGCGATCTCGAATTAAATGCCGAGACTAATTAATGCGGCATTTAATTCGGGCCAAATTAATTTTAGGTGTCAACAAATGCCCCCCAGAATTTGGTTTATAAGAATTATGAACCAAATTATTGACATAATACACAACACCTAAAATAATTTTAATTTAGACCACCAATCCACCAAAAATTGGCAGAAATCTTTTGGCCTATTTTTCCTCTTTAGCAGTCCTGCATAGCCGCCTCGGCCACACATGTTTTTTTTTTGTTTTTTTTTTAAAATAAATTCGGCCTGTTGTGTGGCTTTGCAGCGCTGGTTCACGTCCAAACATCCCTGTTTTTTTTTTATGGACGGGCAATGTTGTTTGAGCCATGAAGGAAGACAACGTTCCTTTCTCTCAAACAACACCGTTTTTTTTAATGGTATAATATAATAGTCCTTTTGCTTCCGCGTCACCCTGCCCCCCAACAATGTTGTTGATATGAAAAGAAAAATAAAGCGGCACCACTGCTACGTGGCTTAGGCAAAGATGGCCATGTTTGGTCATTATTTCCTAATCAACCATTATCAAAGAAAATTAAAAGTAAAGCCATGTTTAGTCTTGGTCGATATTGTGACTATCTCGACAACACAGTAATCGGCGGACCATATTTAGCAACTCTGGCTTAAAGAAAACAAACCATTTAGCCAACACAACCATACACCAACAGCCTTGACTATGTTAATGCAATGCCGATGGCATCTACGTAGCTCAGTCATGCATGAATCTAAAATAAAAAGCGATAAACTGGCTATACAACATGATTGCAACATATCCATGCTATATTTCCTAACATTCACACGTGAAACGATCTTTGAAGCCATTCAAAAGCAGAGTTAACTCGTACCTGTAAGATTCATGCAAGATGGCCCTATGAAAGTTGAACGTTGATCCTCCTTCGCACCAAGGTAGATTTCTTCTACAATGTCGGCAACACTGCTTCCTTTCCCACCTCGTTACTCGCATCGTCGCCGTTGATCGGCAATCCCTCCAGCAAGGCCGTAATTTCGGCCTTCGTCACCCTCTCTTGAGGTGGCTTACTCAGATTTTGGTGGACCACCTAATGAAAGCATTGATGGTCTCACGATTTCGGACAATGGGTCCAAGCACGCCTTACTCAACACCTGTGCACTTGACACTATGACGTTAGGTGTTCCTCCATCCCCACTCCTGATTTCGAGTGGTCCAAAATCTCCATGGTACAAATAAGCTTCAGCCACGTTGGCCCCAACGGCAAACGGCTTTGCGTCAGCCTGGACCACTTCAACGATACCGTCTTCATTCCAGAGCATCAAACACTGATGCAGCGATGAAGGAACGCACTTGTTGGCGTGGATCCAATCCCGGCCAAGTAGTGCGTTGTAGCTTATCATTCCATCCACCACGAAGAAAGCACTCATCCGCCTCTGTGATCCAACTCCCACGACTACTGGGAGGATTCCCCTTGCAGAAGTAGACCCGCCATTGAAGCTTGTCACAAACACTTCCGTTGGGATCAAGTCATTAGTGCTCTTGCCCAACTTCTTCAGCATCCTTGTTGGCATCACATTTACTGCGGCGCCATTGTCAACTAAGACTCTCAACATTGGTACGTCGTCAAGTGTGGCTTTGATGTAGAGAGGCCTTAAATGACGCATCATCTTCGGCTCGGGCTCGTTGAAAACAACGAACCTGTTCAATTATTCACCCATGGCTCCTTCGTCCACGGCTTTCCCTTTCGCCTCTACAGCCTGGATAGATTTCTCCAGCTCATCGAAGTCTGATCCCCATGTGATGTTCTCCACCGACACACTTGTTGACTCTTTCGGGCCTTGGTATAACACGTAAAAAGGATATCTTCCCTCATCTTCGCCCAGTAGCCCATCAGCTTTGTGGCCTGCTTCGTACAGCTCTTTCAGGATTCGCGGCGAACTCTTGTTTTGCTTGGCTGACTCCACTGCCAATTCAATTCGACCATTCGTGCGAGCCATCATTGCACTCCACGGCTCAGCCTCGATTGGCAGATCCGCAGATTCGCCAACCAGCCCTGCCGCCGCTGGCTCCTCATTCTCCTCCTCTAAAGTCAATTGAGCAAAACCGCTCACCAGCTCAGCGACGTTGACCTCTTGAGCAGCCTCGTCCAACTCCTCAACCTCCATCACAATCTCGCCATCCTCTCCCTGATTTCCCAAATCAATGTGGAAGATCAATGGCAAGATGTAGTTGTTCACCACCACTGGTGGTAGGCTTCCAAACTGGATCGTCATGGGAGCACATTGGTTGTCATCATCGTCATCCTTGTTCTTTCGATCAAACTTCGACTTTGGCTCCTCCAATTCCAGCATCTCCTCTTCGATAAAGGAGTCATCCACCTCAGCATCGTACTTAGTCTCTCCCGGGACTCCTTGCTCGTTCCCGTCCCGCTTGTCCTCAGCACCGGCCACAGTCACTCTCAGACCCGTGGTAGAGTTATCCACGTTCACATTTGCTTGCAAGCTTGCAATCCTCCTTCCTTCAGCATTCTTGCGGAGGTATCTTCGATACTGCGTCCTTGTCATCTGGTCAACGGCGATAGGCTGCCGACGACGGACATCGTAGGTGTGTCAACCACCTTGTGGCACATTTGGCATCCTGAAAGTTCTCCTGACAGGTGGGAGACCTCTCACTGGTCGGGCAAGTCCAAAAGGCAGACTTTTGAAAGGTGGGGCACTTTGAGCAACCCACTGCCTACGTTGCCCTCTTCCCTAGGCAGGTGCACGTACTCCCTCGACAATGCGTTCATATGAGGGGTACCTCGGCTTGAACTGTCGTGGTCCCAATCTCTGGTGGACCGACTGGCTTGGTCCTGCTCCCCCAATGTTCAGCTTCCCACGACACTGGGCACAGAGCTTCTCTTCCTCAGCTGGGTCCAAGCGTTGCCCCTCCTGCACTTGGGATGATGAAGCACCTTGGGCCACATCAGAACTACCACTCGGCGGTGGCGTTGTATCCACCACCAGCTTGAAACGTGGCAGGTTGATCTTAGAGAAATCGGGATTGACCATGTTGACGCCGACCACGTTTGGGAAAGGGTATGTGTCAACAATCATGGCCTCCTTCCTCGGCTCTGGGAATTTGAACCGACCCTTCTCAATTGCATCCTGCACAATGTTGCGAAACACAACACACATGTTAGTTGAATGAGATGCACTGTTGTGCCACTTACAGTATCGTTTCCCTTTTAACTTTTCAGCTGGCGGGATAGTATGCCCCCCCAGTTAACTTAATTTGACCATCTTTGTAAAGTTGGTCGAAAATCAATTCTGATTTTAAAACATCAAAGGAATATTTCCTAGTTTGAATTGGAGCACGATTGGGCTTTCCACCTTGTGGTTCCCCCTCGGCCTTGGCTAGAGAAGCACACACATATGGCTTCCCCTGCACAATCTCGGCCAAATCAACTTCAACCTCATCAACATCGCTACCGACGTTATTCACACCATAGTTTTCATAATTAGGGAAATATTGTCCCCGAGAGCCACTTCTCTTATGTTCTTCTTCATGGAGAAGTGACTCGTATCTAACAGCGCAAGACATCAATTGAAACAAATCAGAAAACTCCCTATCTTGAAACTTTTTACGAAGTTCAAAAGTTCAAAACTCTCTAAAATCATTAAAATCACGTCTCTTAATTTCAAAATTCATTCTGTTTTTATCTACGACTTCAACCAGTTGGCTAACACGTCTATCAATCCGAGAACTAAGACCATCAAGACGTCCATCCAAAGAGGCTAAGTGAAGTTTTACCTGTTGGTTATTAGCCATGACTTGGCGAAGCATGCGTGTTATCTCACCCTGCTTGGCAGTTTGCGCCACTGCTGGCACTTCCCCTCCGGCGTCGTTGCTCGAACCGCCGTGTGAACCGCCACTCTGGTCAGTCTCTACATTGACCATTGGCTCTTCCTCCACTGAAGTTGATGGAAGATCGCCCTCGTGATTCTTCCTTCGCGGAGCCATCCGAACACACTGGTCCCACCAAGTGTGCCAATTTGTCTCGTTTGCGAAACTCGCGCGTTCAATGCGCTCTGATTTCAAGGAAACAAAAACCCAAAGTCAGCAAAAAATATTCAAATATCCACCGCCGAATGTCGGCGCCATTGATTTGATTGATTAAACAGAAACCAAGATAACTGTCAAATATCCACCGCCGGTGTCGGCGATGTTGATTTGATCAATGCACCCTCGACTTCTAATCAAACAACCGTTACTCGGTTCACCACCTCTCCAAACTACGTTCGAACGAGGGTGTTCAACGAGAAACGAGAAACCAAACCGGGAGTGTTCTAAGATACGTTACCTCTACTCCTATGGAGGTTCCTCTGGAGAGCTCCGCAACTACGACTACAAGCTACGACTCTGCAAAGGAGTTCTTTGACAGAGCGGTTCTACAAAACTAGAGAGAAAAAAGATAAATCTGCGTAGGTGCAGTTTGTGATTTGATTTTGCCGTCTCGAACTTCTCTCTCTTCCCAATCTTTATACTTCGCGCTTCTCCTCGTCGTAGTAACCGCCTTCGCGCCTTTGTCTTCCACGTCTTCACTCCTGTCAACCGTGCAGGTAACTTCCTCCCTGTTGCGTAACTCCCACGAGTGCGAAACCGCTTGAGCACGTGGCAACTTGGTCCAAAACGACACTGAGCCAAAATCCACCATTGCTGAACTCTCGTCACGACGTTGTTTTTAATTAAACAACATCGTTTCAGTACCGCGACGGTGTCGATCTCCCACGATGTCGTTTTCGGCTAAAGCAACACCGTCTTAACTGATCCTTAAAATATTAATTAATTAAATCGGCCATCATTGTTGACACGCTTTCAAACTCTCACTTCGCGGCGCCGTTCTTAATTAAACAGCATCGTTTGGCCCACTCGCGGCATCGTCTTTAAATCCGCGGTGTCGTTCCTTCTTCTTGCGGCATCGTTTTCAACTAACGTCACCGTGCTAAAAAGTCATTAAAAATATTAATTAACTAATCTGGCCATCACAAGTCCACGGCCAACGACATCATTAGCGCCAAAACGGCTCCGTTTGTTTTTCCTTTTGCGACATTGTTTTTTATTAAACACTGTTGTTTGCTTGCAGTACTGTTGGGCTTCCTCGCGGTACTGTTTTTAATTCCCCGCGGCACCGTTTTAACTCCTCTCGGTGCCGCTTCTTCCAATCCAACAAGGAATAAAAATAATAATTAATTAGAGAAAACTCCTTCTCCAAAACCTACACTAAAACGCGCGGCCCCTTTTGCTTCCCGGTAAACGGTGTCGTTTCCAGTGCCGCGGTTCCGCTAAGCCTCCTTGCGGTACCGTTTAACTCTCCGCGGTGCCGCTCAACTCCAAACGACACCATTTTTTTATCCGCGGTCTCGAATTAAATGCCGAGACTAATTAATGCGGCATTTAATTCGGACCAAATTAATTTTAGGTGTCAACATCGCCATAAGTGTTTTGGACAGTATGCCATCGAGGAAGATTGAGGAACACGATGAAGTTCTTCTGGGGTTAGTTTCTTTTTTCCCCCTATTTGTGGCGGCAAAAATCAGATAATAATTAAATAAAAGTGAAAAGGAATTAATAACAAAAAACGAAAAACGTTGATGAGAAAAATTAACAAACGTTTTCAATCTGTTTGACTAAATGATGTGTTTGGGCCACATGATGGCCACCGGGTTTGGGTTTGAGATTGGTTTCAAAATTCAGCCAACGGCATCACACTCACGTGTACCAATCAGAAATAGCGTCATTGATGCCGCACTTTTAATAGCGGCATCGTAGTATTGGCCATGTATTGGATTTAACAATGATAGAATTAGGATGAATAATAGTTTGGCCTAGTGGTATTGTACATATGTATTGGTTGTAATTAGTATGTTATAAACGCGCTGCTACGGATCTGAAAATCGTAGGACTCGACAAAGCAAGAATACGAAAGCGAGAATCGAAAACACGACACACGATTTACGTGGTTCACTAACACGATGTGTGTTAGCTACGTCCACGGGCGAGAGAGAGCCAATTTCACTATATCGAGGAGATTACAGATTACAGAGGAGTATGAGAAGTATTTATAGTACTTCTCCATGTGGGTCTAAACCTAATTCAATCTGGCAAAGGAAACGGTTACAGACCAGGCCCAGAACCCGTACCCAAATAACATTGAGCCTGTACAGCGAGACCGCCGATTACCAGTCGTAGCGGCTGATAGTCCGATTCAAGTCACATCAACATAGTATATGGTTAGGACGAACAAGAGCTTGGTCTAGTGGTTAGGGGTGGCTATACGGACCGGTTAAATTAGTCCAAATTGATCTGGTCTCTGTCCGGTTTTTTCGGGAATATAAGGACTAAAGATTGGATTGGATACAGTCCGGTCTTAACTCGATCTGGTCCCAACTCGGTCTTATTTTAGATTGAGCTTGTGGGGCTTTGAGTGGCCTGAGGCCTCAAAGGGTTAGGAGTTGGTTAAGTTTTGGGTGTTGGGCTCTCTTATCCGGTCTTTATCCGGTATTCGGTCCGGTTTCGAACAATTTTTACCTCAAATTTAAGCCCGAAGATGGGATTTGATTGTTTGCTTTCCGGTCCCGGTCCGAGTTATATGATCCGATTTCGGATAAAACCAAAAAGCCCGGAACAAATAGCCACCCCTACTAGTGGTAATACCACTAGCCTAGAACATGGAGGTCTCATGTTCAAATCTTTTAAATAGTATCTCACAAAAAAAAAAATATATCACCCTTATCTATAAATTTTTTAGCATTGGGATAGGAAGCAAAACACTATATATATATATATATTGATTGTAATGAGGCCTACCGATGTTAAGTGAATAATAAGAAAACCTTATAGGTTCGACCGTGGACTAGTCTCGTTCATCTTGAACGAGGAAACCACGTAAATCTCTGTGTCGATTCTGTTTTTGTTTCGTACTAGTTTCGTTTTCGATTTACATGGTATCAAAGCTTGCTGCAATGGATTCCGATCATATCTTTACCCATCTCAACTCAAAGAATTACGCTCTTTTGGGAAATTCAATTTCGTATTTTCATCGAGGGAAAGCGGTTGATTTGCGCAAGAAGTTTTGCAATGGGTTGCAAAGGTGAAGACGACGCTCCTCAATTGCAAAGACTCATCAATTGTTCTCGAGCTGCGGTTGCTACCAACTGCCGCTGACATGTGGAACCACCTTGCTAAGATGTATGCCACCACCGCTGACATGTGTTTTGGACTACCTGATTCGGGAGGAGGCCAAATTTTGCAAGCAGGCGTCGCTGGATACTCACCCAAGAAGTGGCATGGTCGCCTTCAGCGCTGCTGGTCACGCTAAAGCAAAGGCGTCACCGCTACCGCACCTTGTTCGGATCCAAAGGGGACTATAGTATGTGCTGATTCTGATGATGATCCTGTCAGAGAGGTTTATGCCGCCAACCGTCCTTAGTTACAACGTCGGGTTCCATCTGGGTATGTTGAGTGCCAATTTTGTAGGGTTAGACGACATACGTAGAAATACTGCCGCAAACGAATTACTGTAAGAAATCGAGATATATAATCTCCGATTGTCAAGTTTTGCGGGATCGAATTCTTGAGGGGAGTGTCTTTGCTGAGCCTAGAGCATGTGGGGCTAGTTCCTCATAGAGTTGCGCGCCCCTACTTATGCTGCCCAACTTGCTCCAGCGACGGATGGTGCCCGACTTTCACTGGATTCTCTTGAGAAGATAACGAGCAAAGCCATTGTGTCTGTGTTTTCCAGTCTTTAGGTTTTTGGTAAAGTTCCAAAATGGATTCTTGACTCTGCTTATTTTAATCACATGAGAAGTGATGTGTAAGTTCTTAAGCAGATTCGTTCTGTTGATAATATGGGTTGCAAGTTGTGAATGGTGATTGCATTGATGTTACTAGCATGCGATCTGTTCAATATTTGACTGTGGATTTATCTGACTCTACATGTTCCTAAACTCGTTCTGTTGGGAAACTTACAGACCAGAACTGTCGTGTTGTGTTTTCAGCTTCTGGTTGTTATTCATGACCTGAAAACGGGAAGGATATCAGTAAAGGTAAAAAATGGATCACATTTTCTACATTCCATTTGTGGCATGCTCGTTTGGGGAATGCAAGTTCTAGTCCGTTAGCTCTTATGTTTAAACAACAATTATTTGGTCATAATACTATGACAACATGTTCCTCAAATTTCTCTTGTTAAAGCTATGATAGAAGCCAAGATTACTCGGATTTCTTTTATGTCCAGTCAAATTATTATTTTTGAACCCTTTCAGCTTGTTCATAATGATGTTTGGGGCCTAAGGACTAAGAGAAATAGATTGTTGAGGTTTGATTCGGGTCCAATTGCACAGGTTTTCTCCCCATATTCGTGATGTGTTTTAAACATTTTATCATGTGAGGTTCGATTTTACGCTAGGGTGTGCATGTTTCAAGTATGTTTCATATCCTAGCAGGTGGAATTGGCCTCAGGAGCAAAAGTTGGACGAGAGGGAGCCAAAACGGAGGATCAAAGTTGAAGCCAGTTTTTCACGGTCACGTCGACCGTGATAATGGAGCCCAGACTGTGAAGAGCAATGAGACCAGAGAAGATTGTGTGCCTCGCGGGCCTAAACGACATCACGGTCACGCGACCGTGATAAACTGATAATTCGCCCCCGACCGTGAAGATGTTAAATGATACGACGCGTTTTTGTTCGAGATCATGGTCCACGCTTCAAGTTCACGACTGTGAACTGGGATCATGAAATGCGTGCGATCTGGGTATTTAAGGAGAAGGGAGGAGCCTAGTGAGAGAATTGCATCTTCTTCCTCAAATTTTAGAGAGAGAGAGAGAGTGACGAACAAGAGAGGAGAAGAAAGCTAGGGTTTCCTCCAAGCTTGAAGATTTGAGCCAATTTGACCAAGGTAAAGGAAAATCCCCTTCTTGCCAAGAGGCTTTCATAAGCTGAAATTCCTTGGCCAAATTGAGCCACCTATGTTTTAGCGCTTTGAGTTGGTTTTTGTGTACCCTTCTAGATTAAGGTCCGAGGGAGAAGTCTGGGAAACCCTTAGTCGGTTGGCCAAGAGAGCTTATTCGTTTGCTTGATTTGAGATCCCTTGGCCTATCGACCGAGCGAGTGAAGCTTCTTCACTAGTTGCGCTCTCCTACAGTTTACAACCACTTTTCCACACACTTGCGTTCTTTTCAATTAATCTTGATATATGGCTAGGGGGAGCAACACCCGGATGAAGTCTTCTCGTATAGTATTCAAAACCATTTACCTTTTCGCTTGCTTTCAATTGTAATCCATAGTTTTCACTAAAAATCGATTGCTAGATAATGTTTCAAACGATTGATGTAGGGGTACATGCATCAACCGGGCTTGAAATTTAAGTACTTTCCCTATACTGCACCTGACTAGAGTTTATACTTGGGCTCTAGTTGGGATTTTAATCCATGGTGTAGTAGTAGTCGAGGCAAGGTCCATTAAACTTGCCAAAAATCATTATAATCGTCTTCGAGTAATGTGTTCTGGAGACTTTCCAGGTTTATTGATATTCTCGGTATTTCATTTTCCTTCGTTTATTATAATGTTAGAGATGGTGACCAAATTTCTCTCTTATATTGGAGTTTTCATTTTATTGCAGTGGTTGAAGTGTTTGATATTGGGAATAGTTGCCAATTAAATGCCATCCTAGCAATGCCGGTGATCGTTCTCTCATCATGGTCATTACATCATTATATGTCGTTCCTTACAATGGTAATTTGCATATAAATTAGAGACAACTAATTAATTGATCTTCAAATATGCAGGCGATAACACCTTCTCCTCAACTGGAGCAACCTTGCTGCTGGTGAATTCAAGAATTCCGCAAATCAATAATTAACATGCTTTTTTGGTGAATACAGTGATGGCGAGGCACCAATTCTTCTAATGAAAGCACAGGGAAAACTCAACAGTCAGTCCCAAGCAAAACACTATTTGAGGTCAATCAATTAAAAATTAAAGATGGAGAAGAGATAATAATCAATTTCGATTTAACAAGCCATTAACTATATCATACTAAAACTTGCTATGATATATAGGGAAATACGTATTTGTCAAATGCAAAGTTGTCAAGTTTAAGAACTGGTGGTGTTATTCTGGATGCAAAACCTATCCACAAAAACTCGAAGAAGACTCTGACGAGTACTTTTGTGGGAATTGTACAAAGACATTAAAAATGACAACATAAAGGTAATGCAACCATTATTACATGAAATTTGATTCAGTATAGTTCGTTGATGAATATTCATGCCAAGTAATTAAATATTTAATCATCCAAAATATAATAATTTATATTGTTTTCGTACAATTCAAGGATTATATTACTAAAGCATAAAGATGAACATTTTCCTTAATAATTAGCAATGCATGGTACTTTTACAAGCAGAATCCTTACATACATGTTAAAATATTAAATTGAATATATAAACAACTTATGCCCACTCGTCGTACCTAATGAGGCTATTTTCATATTATTGATTGAATAATTTTGGGCTTTGGTATTAGACACCAAAATAATAACGTGTACTTCAACAAATTTAATTTTTTTTTATGTTATTATCATCATTATATAAACTCAGGAACAATCTTTGAGTTGCGGACAATACATGAGAGGCTGACTTATTGTTATGGATAGAGTGGGAGCTCGATCTTTTGAAATGTCGACTGAAAGACTATTCCAATGCAACGATATAATTAGAGGACCACCACCTGTTCATCTCCTAAAAATTTGAGGGAATGACGTTGTACTTCGGCATCAATCTCACATATTACAAGCTAATCCAACAAGTGAGTACACAATTATCAAAATAGGTAAGGATGAGGAAGACCAAACCACTAACGATATGTTTGACTTGATCGAGGTAAATTAAATTTGAAAAAAGTACGATCAATGATAATAAAAAATTTGTGCTAGCATCAATTAGAATTGGATTTTAATACCATGCACGGTTTATACAGAGATATTTTTTAATATAATTCACATAATGGTCGATTAAGGGAGCTACGTGTTTGATTAACACACTTGGTTGTGATCAAGAGAGCCGATGATTTAATTATTAAAATTGTAATTAATTATTTAACTATCATATTCAGCATCCCGCCACCCTTGCAACAGAGCTCCTGTTATCGGAGAGAATTCCTCAGACACAATTAGTGTATGGTTTAATGGCGTGGTCAAGTGTGGCCAAGGGGTAGTATTGGCTTCGTAGGCTTCCAAGCGACATGTTAATATTCTTTTTTCCTTCGGAAAGTATTATGATGGAATACGCGTTCCATTTGTAATGGCAAGTTTAGCATTACGAGATGCCATACACTAGTGCATAACACACTCTTTTCTTTTCCGTCAAATTTCACGGGAATTATCAATAATTGATTCGGTGGATGGTGGACGGTGACTTGGCTCATGATCGGGATGGAGCTATCTTGGAGGATGCTCGGAGCTTGATTTTTCTCTTTAGCTGGGTTTCTTACTGTTTTATTCCCCGTGGACTCAAAAGACCCTCTCATTGGGAGTTTGACTATCGGTCGACTCCTGCGCTCTTCTTATTTCCTCTATATGACTGAACTTATAACACTTGATTTAATTCTTTCACTGCATGCGTGAAAGTATGGATGATCTGATTTGTATTGAATATGGAAGTTTGCTTTCTTTCCTACTAACTTGCAGTGAATTATATTTTCCGAAAATTTTATCTATAATATATTTTCACAAATTATGATTCGATAAAACCACCCCATATGTTGTACTTTTGAATGTCAATAATCTAAATTTATAATGTTGATGTAGGAGAACAAGAATAACACTACTAATGGTGGATTTAGTGCATACGGTGCTAGAGATGATGATGATGATGATGATGTTGAGAAGAAGAAAGATATTGTTTATGAGGAAGGTATAAAGATTGGTGATGTAGAAAAAGAAGAAATCCAAGATGATATTCGTAACTTGGATGAGGTAATTTCTACTCTAATGAAAAAGAAGATTTCTATTTGCAAATATATTCTACCATCAAATTTTTGTGCTCAATGAAATGAAGGAAAATAAGGAATAACTGAAATTCAAAGAAGAATAAAAAGTCAATTGATATTGGAGATAAATATGTCGCGAATGGATATGAAGACATTATCTATAGTGATGATAAGGATGTTGCTCATGCAGGAGGAAATGCAAACAAGTGAAAAAAAAAACATGCAATAATATTCGGGGTAACTATGTTGTATGATGCGGTTAAATTGGCCCAAATTGATTCGGTTTTGGTCCGGTATTTTTGGAAATATACGAACCAAAGATTGGATTGGATACAGTCCGGTCTTAACCCAGTCCGGTCTTGACCCGGTCCGGTCCCAATTCAGTCTTGATTTTAGATTGAACTTGTGGGGTTTGAGTGGCCCGAGACATCAAAGGGTGAGGAGTTGGTTAAGTTTTGGGTGTTGGGCTCTCTTATCTGGTCTTTATCTGATTTTCGGTACGATTCCGAACGGTTTTTTACCTTAAATCTAAGCTCGAAGATGGGATTGGATTGTTTGCTATCAAGTGCTAGTCCGATCTCGATTAGGGTTATACGGTCCAGTTTCAGCTAAAACCAAAAAGCCCGGACCAAATAGCTACCACTAAATAATATATGATGATGAGGAATAATTACAGGGGCCATTTTAATTGGTATTCAGTTCCCTTGCATATTAATAATTTGATTTCTCTTATTCAGGAATATACGGACCAAAGATTGGATTGGATACAATCCAATCTTGACCCGGTCCGGTCCCAATTTGGTCTTGATTTTAGATTGAGTTTGTGGGGATTTGAGTGGCCTGAGGTATCAAAGGGTGAGGACTTGGTTAAGTTTTGGATGTTGGGCTCTCTTATCTGGTCTTTATCCGGTTTTTGGTCCGATTTCGAACGGGTTTTTTTTACCTCAAATCTAAGCTCGAAGATGGGATTAGATTGTGTTGTCCAGTGCAAGTCCGTTATCGATCAGGGTTATACGGTCCGGTTTCAGCTAAAACCAAAAAGCCCGATTCGACCATTAAACCTCAAACCCCTTGTTGAACCGGTTAGAGGACTTAATCCGGATTGACAACCTTGGTTGTCATACATACTGAGGAAAAATAAAAGGAAAAAACAAAAGGCCACCGTGGCAGTAAGCAACAAGAAGGTTTACGAGAATGGAGCTGAAAACAGCCAGGTGATTGGTGCGAAATCTATCCACCGCATCTCCAAAGCAGATTTCATCATCCCACTTGGCTCCCTTCCTATCCATCTTTAAGATTCTCCTTCTTTTCTCCTTCCATCTGTCATTATAATTTATATCCCACCCATAAGCCGGTCCATCTCAAGTCTCAACAGAAACAAAGAAAAAAATAAAGGGAAAACAGAGTAACCCAGAAGTCGAGCGAGCGCGCATCAGGGTCGTCTCGTCTGCAATCTAATCTATATGGCTGCAGCAGCTACTTCGGGCGCCGTCCTGAATGGTACGCTGGGATCTTCCTTCCTCTCCGGAAGCAAGAAGACCCAATCTTTGTTCGCTGCCGCTTCCAGAATCGATAACAGTACCGCCGCCGCTGGTGGCAGGAAGTTGGTCATTGTATCCGCCGCTAAGAAATCTTGGATCCCTGCCGTCAAAGGCGGCGGCAACCTAGTCGACCCCGAATGGCTCGATGGCTCGTAAGTTCCTGCAATCTCTCTGCTCTGCTCTGCTTCAATTCGAATGCCAATTTAACCAATTAATTGAATTTGTATGTAATTGCAGGCTGCCGGGCGACTATGGGTTCGACCCCCTGGGGCTGGGGAAGGACCCGGCTTTCCTGAAGTGGTACAGGGAGGCGGAGCTGATCCACGGGCGGTGGGCGATGGCGGCGGTGGTGGGGATCTTCGTGGGGCAGGCGTGGAGCGGGATCCCGTGGTTCGAGGCCGGGGCGGCGCCTGGCGCGGTGGCGCCCTTCTCGTTCGGGACGCTGTTGGGGACCCAATTGCTGCTGATGGGGTGGGTGGAGAGCAAGCGGTGGGTGGATTTCTTCAACCCGGACTCGCAGTCGGTGGAGTGGGCGACGCCGTGGTCGAGGACGGCGGAGAACTTCGCCAACGCCACCGGGGAGCAGGGCTACCCGGGCGGCAAGTTCTTCGACCCGCTGGGCTTCGCGGGGACGCTCAGCGACGGCGTCTACGTGGCGGACGCGGAGAAGCTGGAGAGACTGAAGGTGGCGGAGATTAAGCACGCCAGGCTTGCGATGCTGGCCATGCTCATTTTTTACTTCGAGGCCGGCCAGGGGAAAACCCCTCTCGCCGCTCTTGGCCTTTAGATAGAGTTTGTTGTCCCCCATTCTTCCTTCCTCTGTTCGTCCTTTTGGCTGTAGATATATATGATGGTTAATCAAAATTTTAGCGTGCGGTTCAAGTTAATTAGTCACGCATTGTGGCACTAATGACGATTAGAATACTGCCTGTCTAAAATATGATAGTGATCGAGATAACAAGACGAGTTTAACGTGGTATTCTCGATCGGTTGATTGATCGAAACCAATCCACGGGAGAGTGAAATCACTCTTCGGCTGTAGCTTTTATTGATTATATGAATTGATGGCCGAAGCCTCTCGTTACATAAACATATATATACCCTCTTCCACAATACGTAATTAGGGTTTCACACTCGGGAGAGGTGTTGGCTAAGATGCATGTATGGGCCTCATGTGGTCCATCCGTGGGTTGAGCGGCATGGGCCGAATCTGAAGCGGAAGGACGAGCAGCCGAAACACCTACATCACTAAGAATGTCTAAAGCATACTTCCACTGGCACAAGGCGACACCATCCTTTGTACGAGCGAACTCCATCCCAAGAAAATACTGCAACTCACCAAGGTATTTGATCCAAAATTGAGCATCGAGGAACTGCTTGACCTTGGCGGCAAAATCCAAATCGTTGCCAGTAAGCAACACATCATCTACGTAAATCAAAGCCACCACAAAACTGCTCCCCCGGCATTAGATGAACAAAGAGTGGTCCGCAGGAGAAGCATGAAAACCGAGACTACCAAGTGCAATAGTGAATTTATAGTACCAATTATGGGAAGCTTGACGAAGACCATAAAGAGTCTTATGAAGTCGGTACACCCTTGTGTTGCCAGACTGTGCAAATGCCTGAGGGATCTTCATATAAACTTCCTCCTCAAGATCACCATGGAGGAATACATTATTGACGTCGAGCTGGTGAAGAAACAATCCTCGACTAACTGCCACTGCTAATAAGCAGCGAAACGTGACGAGCTTAGCCATAGGAGAAAAAGTGTCATGGAAGTCAATCCCCGCAATCTGTGTATACCCTTTGGCGACGAGACGAGCCTTGAAGTGCTCAATCGTCCCGTCCGGATAAAACTTGATTTTATAAACCCATTTAGGTTAAATAGCACATTTCCCAGGAGGCAAGTCAACTAAGCTCTACGTCCCATTTAATTCAAGTGCACGAATTTCTTTGGACATAGCCTCCCGCAACCGCGTGTCCCTCATGGCTTCCTGAAAAGAGTGAGACTCGATATGTAAAGAAATTGCAGCCAAAATCTAGAATACGTGGGGTTCGCCCCATCAAAAGTGACATAAGCTAAGATAGGATACTGAGTTGTCGAGGCAGTGCCAGAATGAGCAGAAGGAAGGCGCTGGCTCGGTATAGCTGGGGTTTCATAAATAGTTAAATACCCAAATGACGAGGAAGGGTCTTTACCTGATCACTGCGTCGAAGCGGATCAGGAGCTGATTCTGGGGTTGGTGACGGTGCCTGAGTACGAGGAGGATCGAGATCACGAGTTGAGTCGTGCTACGAGGAGGAAGGAGAGGGTGCCGAAGCTTCCAAAGAGGATGACTCTGTATCAGTCAGGAGGTCGGGCGAAGGAAGCATGGGGTCGAGAAAGCCATCGTCATCCTCATAGCGAGTCTCGAACACAAATCGAGGAACCCAATGGAAAGCATCATCGTGACCGTGCTGGAAAGGAAAGATGTCCTCATGGAACGTGACATCACGAGTAGCAAACACTTTGCGAGTGCTGAGCTCATAAACCCTATATGCCTTCTGAGTAGCGGCACAACCATGAAAACACATGCTCACCCTCGCTCCGCAAACTTATCCAAACTAGCATGGGTATATTTAGAGTAAACCAAACAGCCAAAGACACAGAGATGGTAATAATGAGCAGGCTTACCAAACAAGATCTCAAACGTAGTGCGTCCAGTCGCTACGGTTGGAAGCCGATTAATAAGATATGTTGTTTTCAGAATGCACTCAACCCAGAAGCGAAAAGGTAGGCTAGCTTGGAACCGAATAGCTCGAGCAGTGTCGAGAAGGTGTCGATGCTTACGTTCAACAACACCGTTCCGCTGTGGTTTGTCAGTACATGACGTTTGAAGAACAATCCCCTACTGAAGAAAGTAGTCATGCAACACGTGAGTGTTGAATTCAAGGTCGTTATCGGCTTGAATTCGTCGCACCTGGTGACCAAACTATGTCCGAACCTGCTGATCAAATAACATCAAGTACCGATCAACCTCAGACTTATAACGGAGCAAATAAACCCATATGCCTCGGCTGAAATCATCCAATATAGTGAGAAAATAATAAGAACCACTAAGAGATGGACTTTATATCCACCCCAAATATCAACATGGATTAAATCAAAACCGCCCGTAGTTCGCACACTTCTAGTAGGAAAAAGAGTTCTACTTTGCTTGCCCTCGCACAAGAATGATAGGGGTCCTTATTTGAAAGGAATGAAACACCTAACAATGGACTAAGCTGCTCCAACTTGGTGCTCGAAGGATCACCAAGCCTGACATGCTAAAGGACTCTGAAACTCGGCGACCACCAGCCACCGCGCAAGCTTGAGTATCGCCAGCACCAAACAGACGAAGATAATACAACCCATCTCGTAACTCACCCTTCCGGATCAACCTCTTGGAGCGTAAGTCCTGAATGACGCGGAAACCACCAAGAAAAATTAATGATGCATCATTATCCCGTGTAAAACGCCTAACCGATACGAGATTGCATCAAAATTCTGGTACATGCAAGACTCTCTTAGAGTCAAGCCTGTGGGCAAATCCACCTGCCCAATATGACGAACATGGATGTGTGCCCCATTGGGAATCTGAGCTAGGGGTCCATGTACAACTATCTCTTTATGTGACAATAAACGTTCATCCATCGTAATATGCTCATTACAACCTAAATCCAGTAACCACTCAATATGAGGAGAAAATATACATGCGAAATTTGCGATGGGACCATCACCTTCACCGCATGTCCAAAATATTGTTGAGGTTGTTCCAGATGTTGGTTAGTGAATCCCGCAACAGAGCTTTTGCCCTTTTCTTGATGTACCTGAGCTTCCTTGGGAGTCCAATCGCGCCATGGCCCATCACGATCCTGCTGTGGTTTTTCTTCATGCGAAGATCGATCTCCAGAGGGCTGCAATTCGCGCCGTTGTTGCTGATCGCGATCACCATGGGATTCCCACGGTCACCTCGAGAATCCCTGCGATCGCGCGACGGATAGCCAATGAGCTCATTGCAACTCTCTCGTAGATGCCCCGGTTTTTTAAAATAGGTACACCGGTAGCATTCACGCTCCCCCGTAGCTCGTTGACTCTTCTCGCCATCTCCATGAGCAACAAAGGCATCCGTCTCATTGGTCGGTTTACGACCTTGAGTGATAAGACGTTTCTCTTCATTAAGAGCAATGTTGAACACTTCAGAAAGATTAGGCGTGGGTTTCATGGCAAGCACCTGCGTCCGAACTACCGATAATACATCAGGCAACCCTATTAAGAAATCAAACAGTCTGAAGTGTTCTTGTTGCTCGCAAACCGTAGCCGAAACATTACATGTGGACAGACTGCACACACAAGTAGGAATAGGTGAAATTGCACTGGACTCCTCCCATAGTGAGCGAAGTTTGGTGTAGAAGGTAGATACTGAATTCTTTTCTTGTTGCAAAGAACTCACCATCCGACGCAGCTCATATGCCCGCGATGCATTGCCCTAACCAAAACAACTACGGAGATCAGCCCAAATTTCGTGCGATGTCTCGGCAAATCGCACACTACTCCTGATTTATTTGTTCATAGTAGTCTTGAGCCTACCCTTTACCATCGCATCACAACGAACCCAGGCTTCGTGTTGCAGAGCATCTTTCATGTCCCATACCCATTCTCCATAATTTGAGGAAGTTAATAAATTGCCCACCTACAGTTGACCAGGGCTGTTGGATAAAGGCGTATGATAAACCAGTGGTAGCGGATGATTGACGCTGCCGCCAGTAGCCCTTGCACCAGCAGCATCTTTTCTTGCTCCCGTCCAAAGCATGCTCTCGACGGTAGATTCGTCATCGATAGCCATGACCGAACTTCAAGGATAGGAATCCTAGCGCTCTGATACCATGTAAAATATGATAATAATAGAAAAAACTGTCATAAACTAGTTGGCCCCGATGACTTGAGTTGTTGGGAGAAGGTTATGTTGATAAATAAAGAGGCATAGAACTCGGATTGAGACTCTTTATATTACGGCAAGCAAACCCAGAAGTAATCGAAGAAATTCGATTCGTACAACCCACGCTATCAATCAAAGATCCCAAAACCTAGACGTCTCAATCAGTGAATCGATGTGGCTGTGAGAAAAAGGTTGTCCATCATCGTCGCCGATCTACTTGGTGACAACATTGGTGCCTTCGTAGACCCTGTGCTTCATGAGCTCACCGAGGAGAAAAGCCTGACGGTTTTGGATCTCCATGGAAGTGATGGTATGGTGGCGAACTCGAGCAGAACGGTCGTGGAGACCTTGCCCAGGGCAGAGGGTGGACTAGGAGAAGAAGATAGAAATTTAGATCTAGTTGGCGGCAGGGCCGACCCATAATATTTGGAGGCCCTATTTGAAAATTAAAATGTGGCCCTATTTTTTTTTTTACAAATTTATTAAATAATAATAATAAAAATACATAAATTCAAAAGATTATTACAAAGAAATAATATCATCTATCATTGTTTAAAAAGTAACAATCGTCTAGTATTATTTAAAATAAAATTCTCTATTAACTCTTTCATCTATGCATCATTCAAGAAGTTATTCTCAATTGTCAACATAGCTAACTCATAAAGTCTATCTTCTGCCATTGTAAAGCGCAGACAGGAATTCAACAACTGCAATTTCGAAAAGCTTCTTTCAGAATCATCATCAAAATTAATTTAATCCACCATATGAAAATTTGGAGTTTTAATACAAATAACATTTGCATCAGGATTTTCAATAAGGGTATCACTAAAATTATCAATAGGAGCAAAATTAGCATCACCAACACTTTAGCATCACCCAATTAAACTCCCGAACCACAAATATAACCCGAAACTACTAGAACAACCTGTCAGAAGAGGAGGTTAGAGAACTCAATTAAATGATAATTTATTTTAATCGTTTAACAAGATATAAAAAAGGATTATAGATATAATATGCCCCTCTACTATGACGTTTTATCAAACATGCCCTTCTACTATTTTTTTTATATCAAACATGCCCCTGTACTTTGTAAAAATGATCAAACATGCCCTTTTATTTAAATTTTCATCCAAAAAACGTTAACCAAGGTTGAACTTTGGTTTGGACGGCACAAATGTCTAAAATATTCTTAATAATTTCACTTTATAATTTTTCTAGTTCTTTTGTATAGCCAAATAATTCGAATAATTTCACTTTGAATAGACCCAGAAAAATAAAACGGGAGACAAAACTGACATTTTCGCTCCCGTTTGCCGATGTCGGTTCGTCTAAATCTCGATTCAACAATGACTGTCGATTTTTTCAACATAATTTTGACATAAGGGCATGTTTGATAATTTTTTCAAAGTACAGGGGCATGTTTGATATAAAAAATAATAGAGGGGCATGTTTGATAAAATGTCATAGTAGAGGGGCATATTATACTATCACCCTATAAAAAATTAATTTTACCATTTATTTCCCATGAAAAGCTTTTTCGGTAATTAAAGTATAGGCCCATCATTTAGTTAGTGCTAGTCACTTTGTTTCCCAAGCAATTTGAGCAAAAAGAATGGTTACTTATCTGGAGGCCCGTTTAAGCTATAAATTAATAAGAGGCCCGTAATTTAATAATTTGGTTTTCCAAGCAATTTGGGCCAAAACATATTACTTATGTTGAAACCCTTTTAAGCTATAAATTAATTAGAGGCCCATCATTTACTTCAAACAGTTCTCTTTGTTTTCTAACCATCAAGACTCAAGACGGATCACTCATCTATGGGCCTATTAAACTTTATACAAATTACTTTAAGTGAGGTCCTCAATCTTCTGAGGCCCTGTGCTGGCGGGCCTACCAGCACAGGCCCATGGTCGGGCCTGGTTGGCGGCAGCCGAATCAACCTAATCTCCTTTTGACTCGGCACCTCTCCTACATCACATCTCGTCTGACGACCTTGCTAAACGCCAGGTTCTGATATGCCACAGAGTGCTCTGGCTTCGTCGATACTGTAATTTCGGTGTCCATATCTCCTCACCTCCGGCGGATTCGCTCTCTTCACTCAATAATACACCTTGCGACTAGGAATGGATTTGGTGAGTCAATAGGATTTGGGGAGTGGGATTCAATAAGCATTTTGGTGAAAGGAATTTGATTTTGTTTATTCTTGGCTTGGTCCACTTTTGGATTCCACAGATTTTTAATATTCTTCTCTTTGATTTAGAGGAGATTTCTGCAACACCAGAAGGACAAGGATTGGAAGGAAGGAAGAAGAAGAGGGGACAGAGGAAAAATGCCCATTTTTCTTTAATTTTCTATTTTTTATTTATTTAAATGGGACTAGTTGCAATGTCATCCCACTTTTTCTAACTCAGCAATTCCCACGTCAGAGTCAACTGATGGTCAATTGGATGAAAAGTTAACGGATTGATTATTATTTTGTTTTTGAAAAGATTTGGATATTATTTCGTTTAAAATCAAAGGTTTAGCTAATATATTGTATTTACCCTAGTTTTTATTAGACTTTTCACACCTCAACTTCTCATCGTCAATGTTTTCAATCATATAATTAAACCTACATTATAGAAAAATGTTTAGGTTTAGAGGTGTTTGAACCAATATTTAAATGTATATATTTAACTATTAATTACGAATGTAATTATTTGATATTCAGGTATACAGATACCATACCAAAATATTTGGGATTAGGGGACCAATTTGATTTTAAAATCGAAATTGAGATTGATATTAAGATGTTATTCGGTGTTTAATACTGATATACATAAATCATACTCATTTCCACCCTACTCAAACGGTATGACCTCCAATCCAAGTATGGGTGCTAACCGATGGTTTTAACCAATAACCGTTAATCGTTGGTTAGCGACTAACCGAAAATCGACGGTATGTAACCTCGGTCGGTGGTCGGCAAGGGAAAGGGATTGTTCGGTTAGCCAAGTAACCGGAGACAATTAATTGCAGTTACCCGGTTAAATGAAGCCAGCCGACCACCTCCCAATGACTGCCAAACAACACCATTTCTAGCCCAGTTTCTGACTTTCCATAATACCCCCTACAAAAATCTAAACCTAACCGGCTAACCCTAACATCACTCTCCCTCATCCATCGACCTCTGCCTCCTCCACCCTTCGTCCTTCGTCCCTTCCCTAGTTTCACCACCATCTCCTCTCCCGACCTCGCCAGTCCGCTCGTCCTCTCCTCTACTCGACCTTGCCAGTTTGCCCGTCTTCTTCTCCGCTAGCCCCTGCGACCCCGGATCTCCGCTCTGCCGCTCGCCCCCTCCCCTTATTTTCCTTGTCACAGCGACCAGCCAAGCCTCCCACCTCCAGTCCACCCGTCCTCTCCTCCGCTCGGCCCCACGACCTCGGATCTGCTCCGTCGCTCGCCCCCTTCATCTTCTTTTCCTTGCCGACTAACCAAAATTTTGATTGCACGACTAACCAAGCCAAAAACTAGAAACTGACCAGTCGGTTGATTGACTAACCGTGCGTCTCTATCGCTCGGTCGTCGGTGGCCTTCTAGTCGTGGTTCGGCTAACCGATAACCGAGTTTTTTGGTTTTCGGTTAAACCGAAACCAATCGTACTCCACCCCTAAATCTAAGGGGTCGTTTGGTTGGGATAGTTACAATGCATGTATTGTCTACAATGCAATGTTTTTTTGAATTTTTTGCAAAAACAATAAATGCATTGTTTGCTTGATGTGATGGAAACTATCACTCAAAATGAGTGATAGTACTATATCTACTAAAACTTGAGATTGTTGAGATAGTTTTGAGTAGATTATTGGGTTCATTTTTTTTTCAAGTATACTCCTAGTTATATATATATGTGTTCTCATAAAAGCAAGGGCAAAAGTGACCTTTCCCACAAAAGGTAATATAACATTTTGAATACTAAAAGAACTATCAACAAAACCAAACAATTTAAATTAAATTACATCATTTTCCTTAATTGCATGTATATTACAATGCATGCATTGACCATTATGCATTGATTTAAGTATCACCAAAACCAAACGAACCCTAAGTAACATTATTGTTGGTCAGGTATAGGGCTGCAAATGAGCCAAGCTGCTCGCGAGCAAATCACCGTTCGAATCGGAAAAAACTCGTTTGACACTCGTCTCGTTGTTTAACAAGCCGGCCCGCGAGCCGCCTCGTTAGTAAACAAGTCAAGCTTGAGCTAGACCATGCTGGGCTTGATAAGCTTGTGAGCTAGCTTGACTCGGTGGCTTGTTAAGCTAAGCTCGCGAGCTGGCTTGTTTGAAGCTTGTGGAAGGATTAATTACTCTTCTCAACATGAAAATTATCTTGTTAATAAGGATGTGTAAGGAAGTTAGATGTTATTTTTAGTTTCTAGTGTTCTTTTTATCATTTTTAGTTTTTAATTTTCTTATTTGTACACATTTTTCAGCAAGAATGGTTTCAAGCCTCATGACGACCTCATGACGAACGGACGACAAGGTGACAGATCCATGAGGGACGACCTTCTGTCTTCAGAATCTTCATTCCCCGTCCAAGCCGGGGACCTAACATCTCCCAAACACCAAGAGAAACAGGGTAAAGCAAGGAGGCAGACAGGGGAAAGAGGATGAGGAGACAAGTTGTAGACGAAATGAATACAATCTCCTTACTTCTTAGATCGGTTCATCTACAGATCTGCAGAAACAAAGGGGGGAGAAAAGAGACCCATCAGGGGGAAGAAATGCAAACCACAAAAGGGAAAAGAAACGTGAATAAAGGGCTAGAGCAACAGAGGGAAGGAAGGGGAAAACAAAGAAAAGCTAGGAAGACAGATGGAAGCATGAAGGAAGGGGGATTAGCGAAAAAAATTCTGCCATTTAAGAGTGAAGTAAAAATGCAACCGCCTTTCTTCGTCTAGCTTTTTGTTTTGAAGAGAGCTCAATCCTCTTCCTGTGTTCTTTTCGCACAGTCACTCCCCCGTTTTCCTTTCTCCTCCGCAGCAGAGGGTTTTTCCTTTCTCTTTTGCTTTCCTTCCGCAGCAGAGGGCTTTTCGCACAGTCACTCCCGCCGCTTAACCCTCAATCTCAGCGAAGCTCTACCATCTCCACACCTTATTCAACCCCTAATCCAGCCTAACTCCCAGCGACCCCTGTAGGCGATTCGCCTTCTCAAACCTCCTTCGCCTAATGAAATCCAGTCATTCATTCCGAGCAACTAGCTGTTAATCCCACGGAGACACAACTCTCGCTCGACGACCCCTTTTTCCAAAGGTTACCAAGTGCTCGCACATAGTGGTCAGCAAGTACTCCAGGAATGCGCTGCTGGGGTAGTCTGAGTTCATTAAGAGCAGCTTCAAGAGTGGTGATTGACCCTGCAAATCAGTTCTGGGAAAGTCTCTGTCATCTCCCTATCAAGTCATAATCCACCCTTTCCGTAGGATTACCAACTAAAGGGAATCACCTTCTTCAACCGCCTTGACCGCCGCAAACCCACATCTTCGCCACTGCACAACTTTTCATTCGCAGCAAAAGAAACAGTCACGGGATGACTTATGAGAAGGATTGACGCGTTAGTATCTCAATTTCAATGTTGACGAAATCCCAAGTGAACGCCTCTAGGTATAAGAGAACTTTGGCCTTATTACTGAGTGTTCCGTTTAGGTTCTGAATGCCTGGACCTAAGATTGTGTATATACTGAGAGATGTTGATACAAGGCCGGGGACCAGAGGAGCTGAGGAATATCCCCCCCCCCCCCCCCCCCCCACACACACACACACATACACACCATTCTATCTAGTATCCCTCCTGTTTCTTATGACATATTACAATTGTTGGATACTGCTTCGTTTCACTGTGTTCAAGGGTGTGATATTATGTTCTTAAGTTCTCTCTGATTGAAGACATCCATGGTTCATATTTGTTTATTGGGATAAGATGTATGAAATAGAGGTGTGGGATAAGATGTATGAACGAGGACTAGAGTCACCCCCTCCAAATATGGTATTTCAATTGGTAATGTTATCTCCATGGGATCCTATTTTGGATTCGTATATACAGGATTGTTATTCTTTTCTCCGCATGTGCAAATTACATTGTTGTGTCGTTATTGGCGTTTGGGTCGTTATTTTGTAAATGGAAGTTTGGGTAATTGGTTTGCGGAATTGATACCTTGTTGTGTAGTTGTTGGATTTTGGGTGTTCATTTTGTAAATGGATGTTTGGGTAAGTGGGTTGTGGAATCGAGTATTGTATGGAAGAATTGGGGAATGATACCCCGTTGTAGCTTCCTTCTCGACAAGAGGCCCAAATCCCGAATGCCCTAAAATCGTAAAGCTCGATTTTCTAGCTCATGGCTTAGACATTCTCGCTGCTTGGCCAGACAACAGGATTGATCATTTAGTCGCTGCTCGCATTAACCATTATCAAGAATTGACACATGTATTTGTGTTGTTTCATTTTTTGCATCGTATATATTTTAATTCCAGGTCATGTGAGGATCATGCTAGCCTAGACAGGGATGGTTCCGCACACATATGATTATGGTACACCCGTCTTAATGGTCTATTTCGATGGCGGATAGGCAATGATGAGGGAGGTTTGCGGATTTTGACCTTTTTTTATAAGCTATTGTTTTGGTTGGTTATACCTCAATGTTTTGTTTAATTATTTCTTGATTCCTTTGTTCTCTCTTTGGAGTTACTCACCTTAATTTAGTGGAATCTCTTGGCAATTTTTTGATAATTGACTTGCTGCTATCAAATGCACAAATTTGCAGGATGGCTTATGGCAATGCACCAGATGCTGCTCAGCTCAGGTTTCGATTATATCTTCCACCCTGCTATCAAAGTTGATCCTTGGCTTCCGAGATATTGAAGTCTCCTCTTTATGGGTTGGCTTTATTTCTTTCTATTTCCTGTCATGGTCCTCCAATTCTTGATTGTGGGTTTTAGTTCTCAAAATCAGGTTTTGCTTTTCTTGCCATGATATGGCTTCAATGCATGAACCGCTTCTTTTGGTTGAGTTTTTGTTAGTGGTTTAAACAATTAGCATATTTTCTAAATGTAGAGTAATTTGGTGGGGGAAACTAATCAATTCTACATTTTCAGATACATTAGCCTACTTTCAATATGCAATGTTTGTATGTCTGATTCGAGAGTAGGGGTCTATGATCCATATGTCCTCTTTCAGGCCTGCACTTTCGGCTGATATATGTTTATCACTCCAACGAATGAAGCCTTACAAATTTATGGGGGTTGATGCTTAGCCCGGGTGAGTTAGTCGTTGCATTTATGTCCTCTCCTCCCTACTGCTTTATTAGCTGTTTGTCTCACTTTAAGTCGTTCTGCTCTAGAAGGTGACCATTATATCATGTGTGATCTGATCAATTTCAATGTTTTTCATTCATGTGTTTCCTTATTACTAGCTCTATTCCCACACTTCGAATCGATTAGTTTGAGCCTTCCAGTATATGACCCTATAAAGTCATTTACAATTGAATTGTCAGTATAAGCTATTTTACTTGCATTATATAACGCTTTGGAGTTTGGGACATTTTATCCTTAAAGCTTTTAGTCATTTATGCTATATGGTTTCGATTTTTTTTATTTGGTTTAGATAATTATCTAGTTCGATCTGGCTTTCAAGTTGTACGAAATTAAGTGAGAAAATCTTCAATGGGACGGGTGTATTGCACCGCCCCAATTAAAACATGCCACGTTTTAAGTCAATTATGTATATTCCGAATTTATAGCTAATTAAAAGAACAATAATCCTTTTATTGGGTGTAGGAGAAAGTAGCAGCCGGGATTGGGACCGGGATCGCACCCCACCACTAGCAGCGCCGCCGACCTCGACTCTGCCCCGACGATTGTAATCCTCCAGCTTTGTTCGGCGACCACCTCGGTTGAAAAACCCAAAACCCAGAAACTCATGAACCCTTCCCCGTCTTCCATCCGCCAAATCCCCCACATCCGCTTTGTTGTTTGCTTCCACACCGTATCGCCGTTGTAAGATTGTCTCGATCACTGTTTTCTGGCGACGTGCGTTTGCCTCTTTGGCGCTTTCTGGCGATTGTTTCGATCATCGCTCTCTGTCTCTGGCGACTTGCCTTCGCCGATGTGCGATTGTTTCGACGTAATGCTAATGCTAAAGATTGAGTAACCTAAAGATTGAGTAAAAAAAGATTGAGTAATCTGTTCGTGGGAGAGGTGATTATTGCCTGGGAATTCATTTCCCGAGATTGGAATCGACGCCGGAATTAATTGCTATAAGAAATAAGGGTTTAATTTCATAATAACAGAAAAAACGTGTAATTTAATCATTGGAGCGGGTGCACCACGTAGGCTATGCGCCGGGTGTACCGAAGATTTTCTCAAATTAAGCAGGCTGAATCTATCACTTAAAAAAAAAGTTTGCTGAATCTATTTCTTTGTTTCTTTGTTGGATTGTTTGTCAAAAGTTCTATCATCTACTTGAAAAAGAACTCTTAAGGCGTGTGTCTATTTCTTTGTTGGATTGTTGACATAGCCTGCAATTTCTCATTAACAAAAAGGACTATGCATGGTTTCCTACTCCAAACATGCTTTGTAGTGTCTTCCCAGTTCCCACCGCTTCGACATTGGTGAAACACAAAGCTCCTTTGCTATATCACCAACAAAGATGTTTCATTATTCTCAAAACTCCATTGGTACGTGCCTAGACTAATTGTTCTTTATCAATGCCCAGTTAGTAACTTTGTGCTAATATGCCTCTTAATTTTCAACAATGACAAATTTACAGTTGGTTCTCATTCTGTTCAACTTATCTTCCACTATGCTTTCAGTATGCCTCCTTTCGTTGATGTTTTATATGTTCATATGACAAGAATCGTTACCTCATTTTCATCATTGATACAAGATCTCTTGAGTGATCTCTTGCTATTATTTCATAGTAGAACCTTTAAATATACCAAACCAATTTCAGTTACAGACAATCATGTCACCAATTTACCTGAGAAATTTTAATGGAAATCACTGTGGCTTTTTAGCCAAACACTTGCTGATTTTGGTTATTCCCCCGTTGTTACCATATTTGCACTTTAGACACCCAGTTGTAATCTTCGACGATTCCAACTTCGTGTGGATGCTAATTGCTCAATCATGACTTAGTAATGATGTAGTTTTGAACTGACAATTTGCCCCTCTTTTGGGTAAATATGCACCTATTTTTGTTCGCAAATTTATTTTTAATTTCACAACCAAGATAGTCAACTGGGGTCTGGGTGCATTTCCTAATTACAAATGCTTCCCATCACACCCAATGTTCCGCCACCGCCACAATCAATTCCAAGTTCCAACCATGGGCAAGATACAAAACTCAACATCTTCATTTCACCGGCCAACAGGCCAGATCAGAAACCAAATATGTTAAGAGTTAGATAGATAAATGATGGATGATGTGAGCGCTTGACCGAGAGCGGTGAATTGGTTGGGAAGTTGCCAAGTTTGTCGGCAATAAGGTGGTCGGCCACCCTGCCGATGAATCAGACCCCATAACGTAACATTTAATATAAATAGCCTTGATTCTGCTGATGTTTCTATTTTTAGAATGTGAATTGAAATGCTGCAGCAGACTAAGGAGAAGGAAAGATCAATATTTTGGCGGGCTAGGGCTGGAACTGAAAGTTGCGATGAGTTTTGATGTCCATATATATTTTCTATTACAGAAACTGCTAGCCTTAGAGATTTGTGAAAGCTCTCTTTGAGAACTCAGAGTTGTCTGTTTTATTCAACTAATTTGGGCTCAAACAATTGTGCTAACCTACAGTTTATATTGTCGGGCCTCATTCTCTTTTCATTGATAAATTGCCTAATAACAAAATTAAATTGACCTATAGTGACTTTTGTTTTCCAGGTTCTTTCACAGTGTGTGGTAGCGAATATGAAATATAACCGGTAGAATTTTGTTCTTTTTTATATTCACTTTAGAAATTTTACATTTTTTTTGGGATTCAAGAGGTTTGGATCCGTACCTCGATAATAAAAAATCTTATAAAGAAAAACAATTTAAGCAATTTATATTGAATGTAAAAAAGTATAAAATTTTCTTCTAAAATATAAAAAAATATAGATACCAGTAACCTAGGATGGCCACAGCACCAGAACTAATTACTTACTAATATAAAATTCAAAAGTAACACAAATATTATTTTCACTTTATGAACAAACTATTTAAAAGACTGTAATTTTTTTGAAAATAAGCAAATTGGTTAATACAAAACAACAAAATATAATATTTATCCGACCAATGGGTCGGGTAAAAGCTAGTACTCATAAAGAGTAGGTGGGATGGCCACTCGTCCTTCTGCGATATGGGTGAACTTGATTATCCTCCGCCTTGGATGATCTCTTGCACGATCTTGGGGGTGGGGGGGGGGGGGGGTTCTAGTACTTATTGGACTCATATGACACTCTGCAAAACAAAATAAAGTTAAAACTAAAAACATAAGATGGTTGGAAACTTTTATATATGATTAGAATTCTCCATCAATGGTGCCAAAAACTTGATGGAGTAAATCGAGTTAAAATCATAGGATGCCCTAGGGTTGTATTCCACAAGTTCTTCTGATGCATAAATACTCACACCATACAATCCATGATACAAGAAATAGACAATCATCTTTAGGGGTTTTCATTCGAATAATAAGCAAGGGAAAGTGTAAAATAAAGAAAGTACAGTTGTTTAGGGTTTTTTGTAAATCTCGAGTACCATCAATGGGGTATCACTAGAGAGTAATTTTTTTAACAACCTAGATGATACTAAGCACCTGCTTATAGTAGCACACTATAGAGTCATAAGCATCAATGATAAGGAGTATTGAACTAAGTGAGCATCAATGTCATACGCATAGGGACTGAAACATAAAGCATTCATGCATACATAAGGACATCGAAAATCACAAGCATCAACACAAGTGTAATATGAAATCACAGCATCAAGATATGCATTGATAAACGAGTTCACATCCACATACAATCATCCTCGACCTGATCAATCAGAGCCTATAATTCTGCAGTACCCTCAAGCTCCGAGACTTTATATTATGAAGATAGGGCCAAATAGAAGGTTGCACTCAATGCCTCGGAAACTCACCGGAAGAGAAAGAGGGAATCGAGATCCAAATTAGATGTAGCTGCGTAGATTGGGAATCAACAGTTGCATTCATCCAACTACCAGGGCTCGGAATCGATCAGCCCAATCAAATTAGGTGGGTTTTCTCAATTTTCCAATGGCTTTGAGTAGAAATGTCTCACTCTTTCATAGCGTGGAATGTGCATGGCTTGGGTAATCCAGATAAAAGGGAAAAGATTAAGAGACTTTTGAAGAGATGGAAACCATCTATCGTTGGTCTTACGGAAACAAAATGGAAGGTCTGTGATCAAAGCCTGATTTCTTCCATCAGTGGCTGCAAATCAAGCGGTTCGGTCCCCAAGAACTCGACTGGGGCCAGCGAGGTCATAGCTATTTATTGAGATTCCTCAACTTACAAAGTTCTGACTGTTTGGGAAGGCAGGTTCTCCTTGGCTGTACGACTGAAGGTCATTGATACTGAGGATATTATTTCTTTCCTTGTTGTTTATGGGCCGCAAGACAAGAAAGACAAACTAGACTTGTTGAAGGAAATTGATTTGGTGTGCCATGAATATATTTTCGCCTTATGCATCATAGGTGATTTTAATCTTGTCAGATCAGAGGAAGACTTCATCGAATGCCCTAGAAATGCTGAGATTGTGGAAGAATTCAATAGCTTGATTAGCAGAAGCAACCTTGTGGATCTTCCATTACAAGGGGCTAGATACACTTGGAGTAGAGGAGGCTTGGTGAGCTCGTCGCCACGAATTGGTAGAGCATTAATTAATTTGAGCTTTGAAGAACTCCTATCTCCATATACTCTGATCGCCCCTGATCGAGTAGAATTAGATCATAATTCTATACTATTAAAATGGGGAACTATCGATCGTTTTCGACACCCTTGGAGATTCAAAAATATGTAGCTACAGGAAGAGTCCTTTTTGTAAAGTTTGGTGGGTTGGTGGTGTGTCCCCGTAAGCGGCACTAGTCATTTGTTCAAGTTTGGACTGATGTGTAGACAAACCAAAGGTTTGATTAAACAATGGAATCAGTTTCAGTTTGGGAAAGTGGAGAGGCTAATTTCAGAACTGCTCATTAGAATCAAAAGTTTTGATGAGCCTGTGGAGAATAGTGACCTTAATGCTTTACTGTCATTAGAGAGGCGCTTCTTGAGTGTGAAGTAGAGAAGGTTCTAATAATGGAGGAGATTTCTTGGCGGAAACGTTCCAGGGAAATCTGGCTCCAAGTGGGAGACTGATAACACTGAATTTGCACATGTTTTTACCCCTAATTTTTTTATTGTTTAGCTAGGTGTTTATCATACTTTCGTCTATTTAATGCTAGTTTGTGTTCCTTTGAAATATTTCATGACCTAGCACGTAAAATGAAGCATAGGCGCAAGTTTTAAGTCAATCGGAGATCCATTGGCTACTCGAGGGAAGAAACTCAGGCATGAGCCAAGGAAGAATGGATTTATACCGCATTTTATGGAAAAATAAACATGTAATCTAGGCATGGAAAGAAAGAGGACAAGACTACGAGCGTCTGGGATCAAAGGACGACTGATTCAGAGTTCGGATGAGAGAGAAATGACCGAAAGACTAGCCTCTCCAAAGTTACGGGTTGCCCGTAACTTTGCCTGTAACTTGGCCTCTGTGAGCTATATAAATGCGTTTTTGCGGATTTTGAAAAGAGGGAGATGGATTTTGGATCCCAAACACACAAGGTACAAACCCTAGAGAGAGCACCTTGGGATCATTCTTGGAGCTATTTTGGAGGATTTCTTCACCATTGGAGCTCGGGAATCAAGCTTGGAAATGGAGATTGAAGATCTAGATCAGATTTCTGCATTCTCTCTCTTCTCTATGGAGTAAGTTCCCTTCACTTAGATTTTGAGTAACCCTAGATTTGTATGTTAGAAAGAGTTGTATTAACTTGAATACATGATTGATTGACGTTTTATATTCAGTTGAGGCATTGATTCAAAATTACTTGAGTCCTGATCAAACTTTTGTGATTCCTGCTTTAACCTAGAACAATAGTCTCTGCATAGTTTAATAGAGCAACCTCAATTAGAAGTAGTGGATCGATTGCTTTAGTCGAGAAATCGATTCACTAATCTGTAATGGAATTAAAGCCAGTAGAGGAAGTTTGGTATGTTATTGCTTTGGTTAGTTTATGCCGGTGGAGGTTAGTCTCCCGTTGGGTATTCGAACTGAGAGGGTCTAGATTACTTTAGTTGAGATTTCAGACTTGTCAAGAACTTTTCGCAGTATATCTGTCAACTGAGAGTCTGAGACTAAAAATGCATTTATTGAAGCAAAAATGTATAAAATATAAAAGTGATAAACATTTTAAATAGAGTGTCATCACTCATGCCAACCCCACCCTGCCTACGGGGCGAGTATTATCGGCCCAAAACATGTCAAACAAGTCGAGTAAAACAAATAAGGTCAAAATTGCTATTGCTACCTTCACAACCCACTCTATCCCACCTCTCTCTTTCCCAACTCTGTCCCCACCCTCTTCCCCTCTCATTTTAGCTTCTCACCTTCCATTATTTCCAAATTTGCCATCCAAAACTAATGTTTTAGAAGTTGCATCCTATCGCCTAGTTGAATTGGAAATACAAAATATCGAATTTCAAATAATATAAAATTTTAACTTATGAAACGTATGACCCATGGTTGAATCATATGAATAAACTATTGAAATTTGGTAGAACTGGTATCGATTTGAACTAATCGAACCTGACCAAATTGGGTCAAAGCCGGCCAACCCAACCAAATGAACATAATTTATTATTGGAATGGTGTGATGCCGTGAAAATGCATCCCTTCCATTAAATTGTTGCATGAAATTTGGATTGGGAAATGTTACATCTGATCGTGGCATGTGGCTTTGGTGGATGGCAAGTAGTGATTGTGGTTTTGCATGAAACGAAGTGTTGTACATGCCATTGTTTTTCATGAAGAGATGTGTCTCTTCATGGAGAGGTTAGAGTGCTAACTTCATAGTAGTTAGCACCGTACTAACTACTCTAATCCTCATTTATTTTTTTAAATTGAATGTGATGGTGAATAGTTACAAAGGGCTTGTTTGGTATTTCACATTTTCACTATATTAAAAATAATATATAAATAAAAATATAAAATCTATTTTTCTCTCATCTATTTATTAGACATTTTCTACCGGAAAAATTACTAACAAATTCATTTGACTAATAGTAATGATTTTAGGATGATAGTAGTGATTGTAGAATTTTTAATTAATAGCGATAGTTTTTTTGGATGCTAGTAGTAGTGATTCTGGAGGGTCATAGTGATTTTCATGTAGATAATAGTGTTTTAAATTCTTTGAATTTGTAGCGAATGATTTTTTTTTTAATAAGAATCAGTACCGCACATTATAAAACATACTAAGAACAGAGAAAATGACTACCACAGATGGTCAAATCACTACTAAAAGATGAATAATCACTACTATACATGAGCAAAATGCTAATACTGAACAAAAATCACTACTATTAAAATCTATACATGCGTTCCCATTCCTTCTCTCCTTTTCGTCCAGGGGTATATATCTTCCGAAATCACTAGGTAAACCTACAATCCCCATTACAAAATCACTACTATAAACTACATTGACGATAAGAGGCGCACTTGAGGTGAACGGAGGCAACGAAAAGGGTTGTGGGCGGTTGAAGAGACGATTGTGAATCTGGATCTGGAACAAAGAAGTGAGACAAAGAGCCTAGATCTGGTGTCGGATCTGCTCAATGGTTATACCGATCCGCCATTCCCTCTGGTATACCTTTCTGCCCTTCACAGCAGTCTTGGAGGCGACCTCAATGCCGTCGGTTGATAGAGAGAGCCGACGAATCATGGGAGAGACTCCTCCATCGCCATCGTCGCCGCCTACCTCCTCTATCGGCATCTCGTGCTACCCTTCTTCCCCGTCGCCGCCTGCCTCCGTAGCATTTGCATGTCTCTGTGAGCGCCCCTTCCTTCCCATCGCTGCACCGTACACACAGATGGATAAGATGTGAGAGAGGGGAGACGGTTGGTGTTGAAAGAGTGGAAAATGGAGAGGCGGCCGTGGGTGAAAGGGAAGGTGAGATGTGCTTTTTATATTAGGGTTTAATATGATATTACTAAAATATCCTTCACTTAATAAAAAAGTCTTTATTCAGCTGAAAATAAATGGAAGCCGATCTATGGGTTTAGGACGGTGCTAAAGGGGTATGGGGTTAGCATCCCATCCCGTCTCTTCACCATTAAACCGTCCCCAAACTTATGTGTTTCGGTCTCTTCCAATCATTTGGATAGTGAAAAGACACCAAAAATCATTATCTTCCTCCTATTAACTTCTAAGTATGCTTTAGTTTCTTGAGTCTAGAATCTAAAGTGGTGATAGTTTTATCTACGAAGAAATTTTCTGTAACCCAAGGCTTTGTAGAGGGTGGAAATATTCTTTTACGGAAAATGAACGTAGTTCGACTCTATCATAATCATGGTCACCCGATCATGGACTATCGTACGTGTACCATCGTCCCAAAAAGTTCCAACAATCGTAAATAATGTTTCCTGGTATGATGGCTCGAACCGCTTTTTGCAAGCAACCTGTTTCGGTCTATGAAAATTTTGAGAATTTTTTATGATGAGTATTTCATTGATGGTAGTAGAAGATGTGTTTTCTTCGTACTAGTCTCATGGTGTATTCCATAACCGGAAGGTAATTTGGAAGAGGGTTGATTCAAGGACGAGGAAGAAGGAGAATGTTCCGTAAAATGGAGAAATAGAAGGACAATTGCATTTGTATAGGTTACGTACAAAATGGTTAATTTTCCTAATTCTCTATTTTACATTGATGATAGTGTAATTTTGTCTAGTGTTTTATGTTATTTTAAACCAAAGAGGCAAAATGCAGATACAATATTTGACGATTCTGGTAATAGAGTCGTCATATGTTTGTATGTAGATGACATACTTTTCTTTGGGACCAATCAAAGATAGTGGACTTACGGAAAAAAAAATTCATGTAAAATTTCCCATGTGGGACATGGGGAGGAAAATGTGATTGTGTATTAAATCAATCAGAACGAAAAAAAGATTTCTTCTCTCAATTTTTCTGCATTAATTGAGAATGTATTTGAAAAAATTCCACAGTAGAAATTGTCGTGAGTTAAAAACCCCAATGGATCCAAGTATGGAACTTATGATTAATACTGTAAACTAGTTCTTACAACTAGAGTATTTCATGCCCAATTGGATGATTAATGAATGCATGACTTGCATGGTGTCTGATATCGCATATGCGATAGAACAATTAAGTTGGTACATGATGAATCCTAGTTCTCATCATTTGAAATGAAATGAGGCGTGTACTAGGATATCTCAAAGGCATATTGTATTGACTTATAGTGGCTTCCCATCCATTTTGGAAGGATTTGTTGATGTTAGTTGGATTTCTCATGTTAAAGGTAAAACTTCAACATTGAGATGAGTCCTCTTGCTTGGAGGAGGTGCCATATCTTGGGCATCTATAAAGCAAACTTGCACAGTAAGTTTCACTATGGAGTCAAAGTTTGTGGCCTTGATTTCTCTTAGAAAAGTGGCATTATTATTGAGATGCTTGATTTGTGACATTTATTTATTGCCAAAACCAATCTCACCTATTACAATTCTTAGTGATAGTAATGCTACTTTGGCTAAGGCATATAGTCAAGTGAAATGACAAGTATGGTCATGTGGGAGTTAGGCACTGTAAAACCTGTGAATTGATCATTCATGGAGTTGTGTCTACGTAATGTGATCAGACTTGAAATAATTTAGTTGATCATTTGACGAAATGATTAACTAGTGACTTGGTGGTCAAGTCTGTGAAAGGGATGGGTTAAAAGTCCATATAATTTCTAATAATGGGACATCCAATTCCCCTCTAATACAACGTTAGAGGATGAATTCAATGTGGAAAGCTCATTATCAGAAGTTGAAACACAAAATTTGTCATCTTGTGGTATGTGTTCGTTATCCAGCATGAGAGAAGAGGATGAAGTTCAAAACTTCTTAATTAAATCTTTGAAAAAGTGTATTATGCTGGTACACGAATAAGAGATTCAACATGCGTAAGTATGAAGTGTAGCCGCTTCAAGAAACCCATACTTTGGTTTTGTGTGCGCTTATGAGAAGGATTGGACACATGGCGGATAATAGTGTTAAAGTCACTTAGAAGTTTCTAAAACTTAAGTGTATATTATCTTTAAATATTCATATGAGTAAATGGGTTTAATCGTTACCGACACTCAAATATTCGGATATTCGGAAACTGTAACATACTAAGATGAAAATTCAATCGTCACGACTGTTAGAAACCCACTTATTGGGTGATTTCGGCATTTGGACTTGTTCTTCATTTGATTTATGTTTGAGGAATATTGGATATTAATTGGGGGGGTTTTTGGGCGCATTTGAGGATTATTCGGTTATTTTCGTAAGGGATAATAAGTGGGGTAGTTAGCGGGAATTATTCAGGTTATATATTCTGTAATTAGTGCGTAATTACTCATTAAGAAAAATTCTAATTCTCTCTCTCTCACACACACTCGGTTGAACCCCTCCTCTCCTTCCAACAACATCATCCTCGTCGGCCACCCTTTGGCCACCGACCTCCCTCTCTTCTTCCTTCCCAAATCTCGTTATGTCCCCAAACCACTCCTTTTTAATCCCTAACCCCCAATCCCCTATTGATCCCGATCGCAGAACCCTAGACGTAAGACGCCTAGATCCCTGATTTCTTACAGTGGTATTAGAACCTGCTTGGCATCTAGGTCAGAAGAAAGATGAGCTCTTCATATCAATCCCCAAAGAGGAGACTACAGGAAACCGTGACGGTGGAGGACATTGCCCTTGAGGAAGATATCAAGGGGTTGCTGAGAACAATGGAGGATCATCAAATCAGCCTCCTTGTTCGTGTGGGGGAGGTGAACAAAACCATCCAGGAGATGAACAGAAGGAACAGCGATGACCTACGGTCGCTGATGGAACTAATGAAGGTGGCGATAACGCCGCAAGGGCTACCAGCGTCACCGCTGAAGACCAGGGAGGCAGCGGCCATTGCAAAGGAGGCTGCAACCGTCTCAGTTGCAGTGACTGCGGCAGAGCAGGTGCCGGGCGCGGAGATCGGGGCGTTGGTGACGAATGACGCTGCGCGCGCCGTCCTGGTGGTCAGGGAGGCGGCAACGGCAGGTCCTGCCCGTCTGGAGGAGCGACGAGGCGTGCAAGCCAGGGTTCGACGCAACCCAATCCTTCCCCGGGCATGTTACCTACTTTGACGGTCAAGGAAATTGCGGTGATGCGCGAAAAGGCCAAGATGTTAGGCTACGACTCGATAGGGGGGAGATGGGCTACGGATTGGTGGGTCCGGAAGCGAGAAGAGTTTGGGTCCGGGATAACCGTGGGCCAAATGATAAACAGACTGACTGGGCCCGAAGTGTAGAGGAGATGAGCCTGATCGACCAAAGTAGGAAGTGGGTCGAGTTCGACCCACAAAGAGGGCCACTGGGCGGCGATTACCACCCTAACCGGCTGGGTTTGGGTGGTGGCTTGGTGGGTCGAGGTGGGCGGATCGAAATTGGGCTGACCCAAAGTGATCGACCCGAACCGGTTCGAACCAAACCAAACCGATTCAGATCAGACTGAAACTGGTCGAGCCAGAACCGAATAGCAGCGGACAGCGAGGGCAAGGCAGGTCGACTCGGTCAAGGAAGGGCATTGGAGGAGGATTGGATGTTGTATACCCTCCTCTGACGACACCTAAGGTTGATCGGCGTCGACCGGACAGGCATTGGGAAATGGGCCAAGGATCAGGAACTAGGGAGGGCGACTGGAGCGATGAGGAGGAAGAGTGGGGCTTTGACAATCAGGCATGGAGAAAACCTGATCGTGGAGGCCGCGAGGAATCTCGCCTAGGCGCTCATGGCATTGGTAGGCATGGTAGTTACAACTCTGTTTATGAAGGCGAGGATGAGCTGATGTTTAGAGCTAAGCCCCCGACCATTGAGTTTCCAAAATTCAACGGTCATGATGCAGGATTATCGATTTATGTTGCAGATCGGCGTTTTAAGAACCACCCTACTCGAGAGGAGAGAAAGGCGCAGCTGGGGTCTTTTTACTTGGAGGGCGATGCTCTCCAATGGTGGGAGTGGATGAAGCGATCATATGCATAGGCTGAAATGCTGATCACCTAGCCGCGCTTGAAAGAGGAGCTATAATATCAATTCGGGAAGTCCGAGGGGTGGGCCCCAGAGCAGCTAGCAAAGCTGCGACAGATGGGCATAGTGGCTGAGTTCCGATCGGAGTTCCTGAGCCTAGGAAATATGTGTAAAGGGATGCCGGAGGAGACACTGGTTGGTTTGTGTCTTGCAGGTTTGAAGTCAGAGTTAGCTGCCGCGGTGAAGGTGTTCGAGCTTGGGTCTTTAAGGGTCGCATTCCAATTAGCCGGGCTCAAAGTCAAAAGGGCCCTGGCGGGTACTCGGCGGTGACTGAAGGTCGAGGAGCGGCCGCATCTGCAGCTGGAGCTGCACCAGCTGCGGCAACTGCAGCACCGCTAGGAGGACACCCGGGACCCTGGCTACCTCCACGAGGGTCCGTGAAGCTCACGCAAGCATAAATGGAATAGAAGCGCAGGGAGGGTCGCTATTTTAACTGCGATGAGAGGTTTCTTACAACGACATTTTCATTTATGTTGTGATTTTAGTGAATTCTTTGAATACACTAATATGGGGAGGAATGTTGGAATTTAGTAAAACTGATATCGATTTGAACTAATCGAACTTGACCAAATTGGGTCAAAATCTACCAACCCAACCAAATGAACATAATTTATTATTGGAATGGTGTGATGCCGTGAAAATGCATCCCTTCCATTAAGTTGTTGCATGAAATTTGGATTGGGAAATGTTACATCTATACGTGGCATGTGGCTTTGGTGGACGGCAAGTAGTGATTGTCGTTTTGCATGAAACGAAGTGTTGTATGGCCAAATAATGCAACCTTTGACAAAGTGCAGTTGCCACTTGCCAACCGTACATGCCATTGTTTTTCATGAAGAGATGTGTCTCTTCACCATGAAACCCTCCCCAACCTTATGTGTTTCGGTCTCTTCCAATCACTATAAATATATGTTGTTGGATAGTGAAAAGACACACCAAAAATCATTATCTTCCTTCTATTAATTTCTAAATATCCTTTAGTTTCTTGAGCCTAAATTTCTTGAATCTAAAATCTAAAATGGTGATAGTTTTATTCTACGAAAAAGATTCCTATAACTCAATGTTTTGCAAAGTGTAAAAATATTTTTTAACGTAAAGTGAACATAATTCCCGACTCTATCAAAATCCTCATCATCCGGTTATGAACTATCATACATGTACCCTCGTGACTTATCCCATAAAGTCCAACAGTTGAAAGACCACCATTCGCATTACAAATCTGACCAATGATCCATTCCTGTTGAAGCTGTCTAATAACGGCGCCATTCTTAAAAAAACTGTTGAAAATCGTAATACAAACACACTATTTGACAATATTGGCCGACTCCCAACTCTCCCAACTCCTATTTCACAAACACAAAAGCCAAAATGCCGAAGGAATTTCACACAACAACAGATCATTCTTAAAATAGAACAGATCACTCATCAAAACTCTAAGCTCGTTAACATCATGTGGCTAGCTATGCATTCAATTCTTAAACTCGAACTTCTGAAGCTCTTACAAGTCCATAGTTAACTTCTGTTTTGCTGCAAATGACGTTTTCATCATGTGCTGCTACCAAAAGTTCGTTCCACGCCTGTGATTGAGATGCGCCACCATAAAGATACTAGACTCTAATAAGAGATAAATGGCATACTAAAAAAAGAGGAAAAGGGACCTCCATGTTGATGGATTGTCAGTTTGTCACCAGCATTCATTTTCAGTTTACACAAACTGAAGATAGCTACTCCTTAAGAGGAATCAAATTTAGGATTCTTGTCCCATGGCCATCAGAAACTCCCCCTCACAGACCACGTCAGTCCCGACGTAAGCTTTTCCTTCCATCTTAGCTATTCCAAAACGTTTCTGCAGCTTCACAAGGGTCATTCTCATAACCAGGGTGTCCCCAGCTATCACTGGTTTCCTGAACCTGACTTTGTCAATTCCAGCAAAGAAAAATGATGCCTTGTTTCCCCCAACTTCTGGTTGCAGCATTACCAAGCCACCAACTTGTGCCATTGCCTGGAATCAATGGTAGCCAATTTTAAAAATGATGAGAAAGCAGCACTGCCACAGATGTAGTTGGAGCAGCAGCACAAGAGCAGGAAGCATAGATTGCGTGGAATTCATTGCAGAAGCATTCCAGAAAGAGTAGTTATTCATGAATCAATGGTGCTTTTCCGTTAAATCCTAGGTCCAGCAGGTTTTGTAAATGGAATTCAATAAAGCACAGAAGCATTGGCATGCATGACAACAACACAGTTGAAACAAACAAATTAACCAAACAGTAAATACGAGACCATTATCAGGATCACTAAGAATTCAAAGTCCAACTTGTTTCCATTTTATGTCCAAATATAGTCAATAGATATTATAATGCTTGGAGTCAATAAATCTATGGAGGAACTGTGTAGAAGTGCAAGTATTCGAAGTTATGGACTACTGGAAATATATAATGCTATTGATTCGGCGGCTTGAATGATCAGATATGCAATAAACAAACTAATCAAGCTACTGGACTATTGCAAACATGCAATCCAACCAGATCCGTTTCATATTTTTGAACAAACTCCTTTTCAAAAAAAAAAATTTTGAAGAAACTTATTACCTGCAACACATTAGAGTTTGGTCCTATATAGAGTTCCTACATGTCCCAAATGCTTAAAGCAAAAATCCCTCTTCCTCAACGGAAACATGTGTGCTGCAAGATCTCAACTAAATGGCTTCCCTTCCTCAGTAAACTCTAGAGACAATTTTTTCATAAAAGTGAAGAATGATACCCATAGACATTGAGAAAAATCCTCAAACTCCTCTCTAACTTAATCGAAAACAGAAGCTTGCCACAGATTGATCTCTGAGTCTAAGCGCTAAGCTTCCAACAATGAATTAGGGCCTGTAAGTCCAAGCACACGAACTCCTAACTCACTTGGACCTAGATTGAGATCAAGGTACCAGACAAACAACAACAACCCAGATTTCGAAAAGCAGCAATTTACGAAATTATCATCTCCATTTTTAAGAATTTGGGGTATATCTCTTAGTTCGCCAGCAATCAAACAACCAGGTGAAGGCAATAGCAGGCGAAGAGTGGACCCAAATACTACCCTCTAACACAAAAACTCAACATATAAATAAGTTAGCTTTGTCCAACTAAGTCAGGGCCTGGATGGTAAACCTGGTTTAACCGTTGATCTATGGCCCGCATAGCTTAGTTAATACTTAACCTGAAAATCACTGGGCATGCAAGTTTATACTTAACCTGATTGAGTACAAACTACTCGTTCATATAATTTTATAGGCCATGCAAGTTTCTTGCTGGAGCGAGTAACAATGGAGAAAGGTGAAGTCTTTACCTCAACCATGAGAACACCGGGCATAATTGGCCTCTCAGGGAAATGCCCAGGAAAGAAATTGTCATTTATCGTAACATTTTTTATTGCAACAGCCGAAACACCCGGATTGTACTCAATCACTCTATCCACCAGCAGGAATGGGAACCTAAACGAACAAACAAACAGGCAAACCCGTAAGAAACGTAAACACAATTCACGAGCTCCTCACAAAATGCATCCCCCACCCAGTTGCCCAGAGAACACAAGTGTGCACTTACCGGTGAGGCAATATCTCACGAATCTGGTTGATGTCCATCACAGTAGGGTAAGCTGGATATCCTGCCGAAAACAGGGCCACAGAGACAATTGATCAAACACAAGAGCGACAGCCCATAACCCGAGAAGAAAATTGAAATGGATATGGAAAATCAACTGACTCAGTTCAATGGGGGTCTCGTCCTTAGTCGGCTCGGCCTCGTCAGCAGCAGCGGAGGCGGCATGAAGAGGAGAGTTAGCAATGGGCTTTCTGAACATCCTTAGCGAGGTAGTCGATGATTGGGATCTGGAGTTAGAAAGAGAGACTGTTGACGGACTGAGCGCATTGGAGCCGTTGGGGAAAAGGGGAGAGGAGGAGGAGGAAGAAGATGAAGAGCGAGAGGGGAGTAGGAGGGAATTGGCGACAGCATTGATAGAAGCCATTGCTGGAATCGGAGAAAGGGATCTGGGTCTGGCTGCGATTAGTTGGTAGTGTTGTTATATAGGGCCCTGGAGGAGCATGACGAAGTATAAGCTGGAGGAGCGGAGGCGAGACTAACGAGGAAAGGCAGGGGGGATGGAGTGAAGATATCGGTAGGCAGGATTGGTTGGGTTTTATTATTAATTAATCCGTCTTGTTGGTACAAGGATTAGTTGGCTTTTGCTGCGCTGCGCTTGCTTTGCTAGCTTCTATTAGTTTTGGGCGGACATTGCTAAGTCCGCTTCCTGCAATTTGAGCGTGTTCACCGAGGATTTGGGCCGATCGAATCTAGCCTCGCCTGCTGCACCAGATCGGTTAGCAATTTAAAGTGTATTTTTGAGCAGCGTTATTAAAGTCGAGCCGACCTGCTTGGCCCGATCGGTAAAATCGCCACTCAATCACAAAACCGGCTCGGAACAGTCTAAAAACCGCTCCGGTTTTATTTAGCGGTGGACGAGCAGCCGAGGCGGTTAACCGCTCGAGCCGCTTGTCCGGTTTTTACCATTCAACCGTTAAATTTAATTAAAAAAAATGGCAGAAAATTGAAAATTGAAATAAACCAAAAACATCGGGCTCTCAAACTGTTTCCTTATTTCCATTTCACAATTTCGAAGGAAAGAGACGAGCTCTGATTAAGAAATGTCCACTATTTATACTGATAATGTTTATTAGGTACCGGTTCTCCACCGATTTTTAAACGGTCTAATGCCGGTTGGACCACTAAAGTGCGAGCCGTTCGCATTACCGGGTCATGCTCCGGTTCGGTTCTGACAACATTGGTTTTTAGCTTGTAAGCCCGGAGTTCAAATTTTAGGGATGACACTTGGTTTCTCCTCCGCTCACCCTCTAGTAGCACTCTTGTAATATGTTTCTGTAAAAAAATACTCATTTGTAGAGTTTTTTTCTTGGATGATTCCATGATTTTGTGGCTGGAAGTATTTTTTATGATTAATCAAAAATTCTATTGAAGCTCGGGGAGTTGCAACTTGCAAAAACTCCCTCTCAAATGCCAACTCGTAATTACAACCATCAAACTCTCGTAAGAGAAAAACACAACAAACTCCTTCAATAGCTTGAGTGAAACTTGATTTGGGGAGAGAGCTACCGTGGTACCATACAAATGACTGAGCATACCTTTCTCGCCAGATAAAACCGATACCCATAATTCATAAGAGCCTCCCAACCGCAGCTGCATCATTTGACTGCATCCATTGCTGTTCAGCCCAAGCCAACTGCGAATTTCAATCCCCAAATTCAGACCAGACACTGACCTTTTGCAACACTTTTCTTCAAAACTGCAGAACCAAAAGCATAGGCCCCAAACAAATAATCCCTACTTTCAATACCTTCACGACAAAGTGCACAACAAAGATCACAATGAACCCCCATTCAACCAACTTGTCTTTCATTTTGATTATGTCTAATACAATAAGCCACAACATCACACTATGTTTCAGAAAGATTGGCTTACCCCAGACATCATGATACCATGTAACCTTGGGGGAGGGAACTCTGATTGATTCCCAGACAAGCTTTACTGAGTATTTAGCTATAGTGACTCAATCCCATGCCAGTGTGTCACCTGAACCAGATATGTGTTGTGGCGTCAGACCTCGACATTTGGGAACCTTCCTCCAAATTCAAGTACTAACTGTACTGACAGGAAGAGACCAGATGTTTCTTCCTTTGACTCGATACCTTTGCATCCACGCTACCTACAACGAGCCAGCTGCAACTAACAAATTCCATAAATGTCTGATCACGCAAGCCTTATTCCAAGTCTTGAAATCTTGAATGCCCAAACCCCCTTCTCGCCTTAATATTGCAACTTTCGACCAAGCACCAAGAGCTTTCTTCCTTTTAGCACAATCCACACACCACAAAAACTTATTACAAGCTTCTTCAATCAGCTTAAGAACCTTAACAGGAAGCAAAACACTGACATCCAATACTGGAATAGACTGGTGACAAGTGACAATAGATTCTATCAACTACAGTTTTCTTGAGTAACTTAATGAAATGGCATGTCATGTATTAATCTGTTATAAAATTTTGTCTACCAAGCATTCACAGTCTGCATAAGTCAGTTTACCTGACAGAAGCGACACTCCCAGATATCGAACAGGTAGCTCCCCCAAAGAAAACCCAAACTAACCAGAAAGAGCTTGCTTTTCATCATGCGAGTCCCTAGTACAAAACGGTTGACACTTCTGCGGATTAGATTTTAAACCTGAGACTTCATAGAAGGTGATGACTTGTTGTACCCCAGGAATAGCTTGAGATGTCCCATTTGTAAACACCAAAAAATTATCTGCAAAGCAAAGGTGTGTGATCTCTAGGCCTTTACAATGGGGATGAAATGGTATTTGCTTAGCCTTTACTGCTTGAGCAAGAAGACATGAAAATACTTTGATTGCTATAGTAAAAAGGTAAGGGGATAATTATTAGGATATGACTTGAATTTGATTTGGGTTTGTTTTGTGTTTGGGCCTATTTGGTTGGGTTTGTGTTTGGGCTTTGTTTGATCTTTTCCTTGTAAGTTTGAAAAAGGTGTTTAGTTTTCTATTTGGGATTAGGAGAAGAGTTCTATAAATACTCTTCATCACCCTAGTCTGTAGTAAGGCCAGGCAGGTTAGTTTGTTTGGTTTGTCCATTCCGAAATTTGGTTTGCAACCCTTACTCTCCTCAAATTAGTGAAATTTGTTCTCCCCTGCTCGTGGATTAGCTAGCACACATTGTTAGCAAACCACGTTAAATTTGTGTTCGTTTGTGTTGATCGGGATTATCGATTGCACGCTTCTTTTCTGACAAGTGGTATCAGAGCCTGGTTGGTTGGTCAGGCAAAGGGATCGTGGTGATTGTTGCGATATCAGGAGGTAGTCTACGATTTGGGGTTGGCCGAGGAAGCCCTTCAGTTTTTCTCCAAATTTGGTTTGTGGGTTTAGCAAAGCCCGCAATTGCAAGTTGGAGTACCTGGTTTGGACTTAGCAGTAAATTTGATGTTGGTGTTATGGCCGAAAATAACACCAAGTTGGTTCTGCATGGCAAGTCCCAACATGGGTTGGACTTGCTGCATGTTTTGATTTGTTAACCGCCCTTAGGGGCATTTGGAGGCAGGGGAGATTCTGGTACAGCTGATTTGGAGGAGTTTGGTACGTCTGGAAATTTTGATTGCATCTAAGTTTGGCGATTTGCATCGCATTTGAGTTTGGCGGTTTCGATCGCATCTGGGTAAATTTGGCGATATGTATCGCATCTGGGTACATCTGGCAACTTTGGTTGCGTCTGGTACATCTGGTATTTGAGAGAGAATTCAAGTCATGGTGGAGATTGTTAGAATATGACTTGAATTTGATTTGGGTTTGTTTTGTGTTTGGGCCTATTTTGTTTGGGTTTGTGTTTGGGCTTTGTTTGACCTATTCCTTGTGCGTTTGGAAAAAGGTGTTTAATTTTCTATTTGGGATTACGAGAAAAGTTCTATAAATACTCTTCATCACCCTTTGTCAGTCAGGTTAGTGTGTTTGGTTTGTACGTTCCAGAATTTGGTTTGTAACATGTACTCTCCTCAAATTAATGAAATTTGTTCTCCCCTGCTCGCGGATTAGCTAGCACACATTGTGTTAGTGAACCACGTTAAATTTGTGTTCGTATGTGTTGATCTGGATTATCGATTGCACGCTTCTGTTTTGACAATAATAGATTCCGTTGCCTTAATCCTTAAGCTGCCGAAAAGTACCCACACAATCATCCTTTAAAAGACACACTGAGCATAGGTGTAGTTACACAAGCTTCGACCAACTTAACATAGCTAAGTGGCATACCCATATCGTACATAACTTTGAAATGAAACTTCCAATCAACAGAATCAAAGGCTTTCGTCAAGTCTATCTTAAGTACACTCCTAAGGGAGATTCTGCTCCTATGATAGTCCTTAACAAGTTTAGTTGCCATTAGGATATTACTAATTAGTCTGCCTTTCACAAAAGCAGACTGACCTCTTCCAATTAATTTGGGCAAAACCATCGATAATCTGTTTGAAAGCAACTTAGAAATGCCCTTGTAAATCACATTACAACAAGATATTAGGCGGAAATCTTTCATTCTTTCAACAATGGGAAACTTAGGGGTAGTTGTAAAAAAAAGAAGGGAAACTTAGGAATGAGAGAGATGACTGTCTAGGGATGACACCAGATTTGAAGAAATCCAGAACAACATTCTCCACATCAGCACCAACAACCTCCCAATCCAACTTTAAGAATTCTGCAACATAACCATCAGGGTCTGGGGCTTTATCCTTCCCCATACTAAAAATACTTGTTTTATTTCCTCTCTCGTAACCGGAGTAGTCAAGCATTCTGCATTCTCTGCTTGCAGCTTATTAACCTGCAACTCAACAAAGAACTCAGTCGAAAATGGTTGAACATTTGGATCAACCTTCCCTAATGGCCCTTTTTAAAAATCCACTACCAACCTTTTCATCTCCTTCACTTTTGTAACCACTACCCCATCATCAGTAACAAGCTTTTGAATAGTTTGTCTATGATTCCTTGCTTTAACCATACTATGAAAAAACCTTGTATTAGCATCACCTTGAGTAATCTACTGAACCCTCGAATTCTACTTGTAGAAGGATTCCTCAGCGTCCTGCAACTCCCGACACACCCTCTCCTAATCCAACACATCTCGAGAGTTAAACTATGTGGGGTCTGACAAAATATTGGTATGCATTAACTCCAACTACATTTCTGCTTCTCGCGTTCTAACTGAAATATCATAATAGACAAATCGATTAAAACTCTTAAGCTTCACCTTCAACTCCCTCAACTTCTTGTACAAAATACAATATGGTACTCCATTGGCCCCAACTTGCCATGCTTCCTTTAAAATTTCACTATATTGAGGATGCTGCCACCAAAACAAGAAAAATTTGAAAGGCTTCGGCCAAGTGGAGACACCAGAATTTGTTTGGACATAGATAGCACAATGATCTGATACCCCTGGGGCAATAGTTTGTACCAAGCTATGAGGAAAAACATCCAACCATTTCTCAGTAACTAAAGCTCTATCAAGTAAACCACGAGTCAGTAGTCTTGTGATCTCTTAGCTTCGTATCCAATATCCATTGCCTGAAATCAAACATACTCTGAATAAAACCAGGATCATCAGAGCCCTCATTACTGTTTGTGATAGCATTAAAGTCCCAAAAAATATCTCAGGCTCAACATCCACCCCATGCCTTCGCAACTCATCATAAAGCACTGCCCTACCACTTGTTTTGTTAGGGCTATAGATAGCTATAATCAAACAAGTTTCAGTACCAGATGCAACCCTAACACTAATAAAGTGCTCACCCATATCAACCTCACTCACTTTCAAATATGGTTTCCAAAATAACCAAACCCAACCTGATTGAGAATACTTGTAATTATTAAAGTGTTTCAAACTACTAAACTATTTGTTTATTATATCATCAACATTATTCTTGAGGACTCTAGTCTCCAAAACTGAAAACAACTCTATTTGTAACCTAGCTACTTGTTTATTCACATATCTATGTTTCCTCGAGGCATTAAACCCCCCTGAGATTCCAGCAGAATAACTTCATTTCCCTCTCTTCTTGTTCTTTCCACCTTTCTTGGGAGAAGCAGGAACTACAAGTTTGATACTCTTTGAGTTCAGCGGAACTCTTGACAGAACAGCTGAAGCTGGAATATGCACATTACTTCCTTGCTCACAACCTGTAGAATCATTCTTTCCCTTCCTTACCACCAATTGAAACCCATCTGCATCAATCAAACCGTCCCTTGATTTAGTAGAGGAGCTAGCTGCAGTCACAGTAATCTGACCTCCCACTTTTGAGCTACCCAACCCAACTTGAGGATCTACTGCCACCACCCCAAAACTACCAGAGGCACCTGAAGTGGTAGGAATAAGAGGCTCAGGTTCAACTATCTTATCCTTGCCTTTAGCACCAACACCTTCACTGATAACAAAATCAACTCCAACAACAACCAGCTGCTCACTGTACATTTTCCCACACTCTACACCTTCCCCCACCTTATGTCCAAAATCAACACACTGCTCACATCTATCTGGGATATAGAAGTAATGGATAAACAGGGTTAACCTCTCCTCACCTTTAGGATGAATCTGAAGTTCAGATGAAAAAGGACAATCTGCGTCCATCTCAATACACAATTTCGTTGTAGCCATATAAGCCCCAAGCCTAGTTGCTTGATCCATCCAAAGAGGTGTACCCAGCAAGCTTGCAACTCTACTCAAACCCTCCACTGTCATATACTCCAATGGCAATTCATGAATACGCACCCAAATCGGCAACTTAGTGCAATCCATCTTCACTGATTAAATCCCTGAAACCCACTTACGAAGGAAAAGAGTAATGTTCTCACAATGCCAAGGCCCATTTTCGAACATCCAAGTACTCGTCGCCGCATTCTCAAATTGAAACAAAAACATATTTATACCGAAAACTAAGACAAAAACCCTACCATATCTACCCCAAACCGCCGAGCCCAACGACGATGTTAGCAATTGGAGGTGTCGCCGAGAGGATTTGTTGCACCAAGGTATTTTGCCAACGAGCTACCCCTTCACCGCGAACCGCCCTGGGGATGACTAGATCACCATCGACCAGATTCGACACAGCATAGAGAAGGCGATTTCCTTCACCAACGCCAAACAGATGAGCCTAATTTGCCGGCTCCGGTGCGGCCATGCCGTCGAGAAGAAAATGTCTACAAGGTCAGAAGGAGAGAGAAAGAAGAGAGAAGGGAGAGAACCCCTCCAAATTTGAGCTCCGACGTTGGTTATTGATTATATCCTAATTGCATTGGGTACCAGTGTACGAGGTGGAGGGTTATAACAATCATAACATAGACTAATAACAAAACTTGAGATCGTTCTCTGTGTATTAAGGTCGATCACATCGATCAACGAGAATCACGTAAATCAAAATGTTATTTACTTTTTGTGCAAATTGATTCTTCATGATATCAGAGATGTGATCGTTTCTAAATCGCATCACTTTTCTTATCCTACGAATTCATGGGTAGTGGCGATGAAAAATAGAAAATATCATGGGTTCGTCTGGGGCAGCAGTGTTGATACTTCATCTCTGCTTTATTAGTATCATGTCGACAATACTAGACAAATGTTCGTTGAAGAAAGAGTTACAAACTAGAATTCCAATGAGTGGGTTGCCGACATGACAAATTCCCCCATCACAAAGAACGAGATACGGTTTGTGATTGGGGAGATATTGCTAACAGCTGAGGGTATTGATGTTAAGGCATGGGATTGTTTGTGATGCCATGATTAAGGGTTGGCTAAATACATCTATGAACAAAGAAGTTCCTACAAATGTCAGGTCAAGACATCTAGGTGGACTTAGAAGAGAAGTTTGATAAGGTTTTCGTTTCACTAGCTTATGAGCTTCGATGAGCCATTAACCAGCCTCGTCAAGATAAGTTGAGCATTTTCGCATTCTACACAAAGTTGCATTCGTGATGTGAATGCGGGAAGTTTACATGCAATTGGAATAAGTAGGTTAGAGGTTATTAGGAGATAACTCGAATTTTTTATTTCCTCATGGGCTTGGACGATCATCTTAATAATATTCTATCTCAGTTGTTGTCTCACAAACTTATGTCGGATTTGAATGAAGCATACAATCTTGTTTCGAACGAAGAATAAAAGTTTCACAGTACCTCTAGTTGTCATTTCATTGTTGAAGTAGCAGTTTTCATTTCACGTGGTGAAAAGATTATGAAAAGTGGCAACATTATAATCATTGTGAAAAAGGTGGCATGCAATTGAATCATGTTATAGGTAAATTGGATATCCCTTGGACCAAGGAAAGTATAAGAAGAGCTATCGTGATAAGGATCATGACGGAGGAATAAAGGTATCTCACGCTGCCACTGTAGAGGCAGCCAAGAGTCCCATCAGAGCCTCAATTCAGTTAATTTCAATAACTTAAATTACTGCTAAGTTTGCATCCAGAATCCTTCAATGGTCCAACCACGAATATGGTTGGTAAGCTTCATACACAAGGTGATTGTTTAATTGATTATGGGTGTAATGAGCACATAGTTCATGATGTATCTTTATTTGAACCTAGTAGTTCGCATGGTATTAGTGGTCCGGTTAAGATATCAATGGTATGAGTATTCATGTGTGTGTAGTACGAACGTTTGTTCTTCCAACTGGTCATTGACTTGACTGTGTACTTCATGAGTCTGATTTTTGCTGTAACTTGTTATTTGTTAATTGGTTAAATAAGGATCACGATTTGGCTTTGATCTTCTATTGTCATCTGCATTATTCAGGACATCTGCTCCAGAGAATGGTTGGGATAATTAAGGTCAAAGATAGGTTATATTATTTGCAGTAGTGTGGTGTTCTGGAGCCACAAGTTTTCATGTTGGTGGAAAGCTCGCTATGACAATGATTTGGCATTCAAGGTCGGGTTACCCATCTTATGTGAAGCTCATATTAGTTAAGCCTTATTTCCGCGCAAGTTATAATTAAGATGTTTGCCTTATTATACTTGCATTTGGGATAAGCAGACATGCTTTCCTTTTCCTAAAAGCACCATCAAAACTCAAAGATGTTTTGAATTGGTTCATCTTGATATTTGTGGTGGTTATTGACACCCTTCTATAGATGGTTCATGATATTTCTTTACCCTGGTAGATGATTTTATTAGGGTTTTTTGGGTTTATTTACTTCGAAAAGGCCAAAGGTTGAATGATACTTGAAAATGTTTACCCAGCTAGTACACATGCAATTCCATCAGCAAGTACAAAGGTTTTAAACCAACAATGAGTTCCAAACTAATATTTTACATCAATTTTATGAGGATCTTGACATCATTGTCCAAACCACTTGTACTGATACACCACAACAAAATGACATTGTGGAACGTAAACATCAATCTCTTCTTCTCGAGACAGCTCGGACATTATGTTTTCATGCCCCCTTACCTATCTACCTTTGAGGTGAATGTATTCTTAAAACAACATATTTATTCACTCTACTACCCTTCATAACAATTCTGAAGAAAACACCACATGAGGTTCTAAGGGGTCAGATTCCCATATATGATCATCTTTGGAGTTTTGGATGTTTAGAATATGTGAGAGATACTCATCATGGACTAGATAAGTTTGCCGACAAGGGCAGACCCAGTGTTTACTTAGATTATCCGGCTTCACATAAAGGTTGATGTATCTATGATTTGGAAACTCGAAGATAACTACTTCTTGCGATGTTATTTTTGTAAAATACATATTTCCTTCTAAAAGGTCAAAGAATCTTCTTCAACACCAAAACAATTTCTAGCACACTTCCTTTTGAGGACCCGCTGCCTTCTCCCATTTTGGAAGTTATTTTTGTAGAAAACATATTTACTTCTTGCGATGTTATTTTTGTAAAAGAGATATTTCCTTCCAAAAGGTCAAAGAATCTTCATCAACACAAAAAAAATTCTAGCGCACTTCGTTTTGAGGACCCGCTGCCTTCTCCCATTTTGGAAGTTCCTAGGTCACCAAATGTGAATAATTTTCATGCAATGGACCTGCCACACGAAACATCTCCTCTTGAGCATTGTTGTCTCCTGTTGTAACCTCTACTGATGGAGTCATCTCACATAAATGAGCAGTTGTGAAAGTCAAGTGTCTTGGAGTTTTGATGGGTTTGAGGTAGGCCTTTCTACTTTTTTTCAATCTTCTTATAATGTTGTGTGTTACCCTTTGTTTGTCCATGTAGCTTATTCTTGATTTTCCCCTGAGCATCAAGCTTAACAGGTTGTGATAACCAAGATATGAAGCCAATTGTTTTTTCTCATGCCGTTAAATATGAGTGCTGGCAACAAGAAATGCAAGTTGAGCTAAAGAAGTAAATGGGACATAGATACTTCAGCGTTTATCACTAGGGAAGCATTTATTAGATTCTAAATGGTTTTTATAAAATTAAATATAAATTCAACAAGTCTATCAAACGATATAAGGTACGACTAGTCACCAAAGGTTATATACATGGATGGGGTTGACAATCACGATAATTTTTCTATGGTAGCCAAACTTGTGATTGTTCGCCTAATTATTTCTCTTGTAGCTTCAAGTTGGTGGTTTCTTCATCTACTAGACATAAACAATACATTCCTTCATGGTGATCTTTCTAAAGAGGTTTATATGCAAGTTTACCTCAACTAGTACACAAATTTTACCAGTGCTTCATAGGAGTTGGATTTGTGTTTGTTTCATGCCAACGACTCTTTATTTGTGTTTCGATGTAAGGATATCTTTGTGCTTGCCCTTACATATGTTCGTGATCTCATTCTTGTTGGTAATCACATGGGTTTCATCAATCATGTTAAGGTTCTTCTACATGATCATTTTAGAACAAAAGATTTGGGCCCTCTCGAATATTTTTAGTATTGATATTGCTTGATATTCTTAAGCTATCTTGTTTAGCCAGAAAAAGTATACATTGGACATTTTTTAGGAAGCATGCGTTCAGGGGTCTCGACCGGTTCGATTTCCACTTGAATAAAATTACCACCTCGCACTTCCACATTATGATAATGATTCATATCCTAGTTCTTATCATCGATTGGTGATAACACCCAAATAAGTGTTATTTTTCTTCCTAATCTTAGGTATTTCGATGTCATTTTGAGCCTTAATGATTTTTTGAACCCACGATGTAGCCTAGTTTTGCTTTAGCATTTGCATGTGCTTTATCACGTGGCATCATGAGCTTCAAACGTATATGATGATGATGAAGGGCTCAAGTGTGGGAAACGAAGGAACTCCGAGTTCACATACAAAAAGGGACATAACACGACTAAAAGTGCCCGAATGTTAACAAGATCACTAGTTTCACAGGATATCATGGTCGAGATCTCTGATCCTTCGGCCGTGAACTTTAAGAAGCTCTGCACATAGAAATTCAGGAAGTATCACGACCCAAGTCGCGATCCTTCAGTCAAAAGACTGCGAGGGGGATCATGGTCATGACATCCTGATCGTGATCGTGAACATCCATCTGAAGAAGTTCAAGGCAATACTGTTCAACAAACTTTCAGGATCACAACCTGGAACTCCCTTGAGCCAGGTCGTGATCTTGTTCTTGTTTCTGAAATCTATAAATATAGGATTCCTCTAGAAATGAAAAGAGAGACTTTTGGAAAGAGAAACCCTAGAAAGAGAATAGAGAGAGAAAGTGCCTCTTAGAGAAGAAGTAGAGATTAAAGAGAAGAAGATGAGAGCTTAAATAGGGGGGGATTTCCAATAGTTTGGAGTTCTGTTTCCTATGGGTTTCCTTCCTCTCCCCCTTTTACTTATTCCCCTTTCATGGGGCTATTTCTTATGGAATTGGGCTAAGTCCACCAAACCCTAATTTAGGGTTTATTATGTAATGAATGATAATTATTAATTTATGGTTTGATTGAGTTAACTTCTGTCCAATGTTTCATTTCATAGTTTATGTTCATGTGGTTATGTTTGCATGTGTTTTGCCATGTTTTGATTATCTAGAGACTTAGGTTAGGTTGTGATGACCATTCCCCATGTTGAGTTCTCACATAATTGATGCCTCTTGAATATTTACATGAACATTGACTCATTTGAGTGGTGTGCTAACGGGTTAAACACATTTAGAGAGGGTAGGTTATATCCCTAATCAAGGAATCCATCTATGTGACCTCGGGCTTGTGGGTGTCATTAGGAGGAGAATCAGGAGACATGACCATTTCATCAATTCCCATATTAGCAACCCTCAAGGCTCAACTATCGTGGATTTATTTACCAGTTGTTGCATGCTATTATCGATAGTTAAAGCGAGGGAGATGACTCCCCAAGTACATTCTTATTTTTGTGCATCTTTCATAGTTTGAACTTGCTTAATTTCGCTTAAACAAAACCCTAAAGATTATATTAGATAATGAATGCACTCAACGAATAGGCTAGGATTCTAGTGTTATTATAGATCGAGAATATAAACTTTATAGATCAACAGATTGGTGGAAGACTTCTATATCTCACAATTACACACCTGGACATAGCATACACAACTAATGTTCTTAGCCAATTTGTCCACATATCTAACGCCTGCTCATGTGACTATCGTGCACCGCTTCATGAGGTATTTCAACTCTTCTCCTAGACAGGGTTTCTTGTTCCGATCTCATGGTTCAATGAATCTCGCTGCTTATTGCAATGCCGACTAGATGGTTGTGAGAGCACTCATTGCTCTAACACTGAATATCTTATTTAACTAGGTCTTGCTCCGTTTCCTTGAGGGAAAAGAAGCAACAAGTCATCTCTAGCTCTTTATCATATGATGGGTATCATGCTATGGCTAGTATTGTGAGTGAACTTATTTAGCTTTGTTGGCTTCTCTGTGAGCCCGATTGTTTTTAGCGGGATCCTACTCCTCTATACTACGAAAATCAGGATACCTTCATATCGCAGCCAATCTAGTTCTCATGAGTGCACTAAGCACATGGAAATATATTGTTATTTTCTTCGCGAACGCATCACTTTTAGGGCGATTTAGCCGCGACAAGATTAGCTTGACTTACCAGTAAGATGATCTATTTACCAAGGATCGAAGTGATGATAAGTTTCATTACCTACTTTCCTAGTTGGCCATTCATGAACTTTATGCTCTAGCTTGAGGGGGGATGTTGAGATTAATTACTCATTTGTATAGTTTTATTTCTTTGGTGATTAATTTGTAACTTGTTCATGATATGACCATAACTTTGTGGTTTGATGTTGTTGTTGATTATACCCAAATTGCATTGGGTATAAGTGCACGAAGATTGTCAGAGTCATAACATAAACTAGTAACAAAACTTGATATTATTCTCCTTTGAGTAAGGTTGATCATGGGTAGTTATCATAAACAGTCACAAACCTTTGCAATTAGTACAAAATGGTCAATAACCTTCAATTTGTAACGACACGGAAACAAAAGTTTGAACTTGTACGAAGTTGTCACTTCTATTAATCTCCATCCAGATTTATGTTAGATTTATCTAGTCAACATTCCACCTCATCAAAATTATTGATAAAAAAATCCAATTTAATATCTTAAACCAACTAGCAAATTGTACACGGACACATAATGGGGTCGTGCGCCTATAGTAAAATTTTGACAAGTTCTATCAATATCTTGAAGAGTCATGTTTCCTCTATGCCACGACCAGAGTGAGCTTATTGGAGGCATTCCTCCTCTGGTCCCTCGCCCGCAACGGATCTTGAGACCAGGAATCCAACTGGATCAGTTATACAGTCGTCACTACCGATGCATATTCTACCACCATCGACCGTTGTGAAATTCATGTGGCATTTCGACGGCACTAGCAGGAACTACGAGTGGTTCAACATCTTCGCCGCCAAACTCGAACCCGCTACCAAATTGTTAGCCCACATCACCGTAAATGAAACACCAGAAACCGACACTACATCAACCACTTCGCCGATCAGCTATGAAGATGATTGAAGCAATCCAAAATTAATTTTCGACTGGCGATGAGGTTTTGATGAGAAAATCCAACTTGGATTTGTTTATTGATCATTTTGATGGTGTGGACGCTTACATGACAAATATAACAGAATTTTGGATGGATTAACAGAAGTAACAATTTCGTACAAGTCAAACTTTTGTTATCTTGTTGTTGCAAATTAAAAACTTGTGATTTTCTAAGAGCAAAGTTTTGTGACCATCTATGATAACTATCTGGTTAATCACATCGATGGATAATAACCATGTAAATCAAAGTGTTATTTGCTTTTGTGTTGATTGATTTCTTTATTTAATGGATTGCGACTATAGATCGCCAAAGAACCTAGTTTTGTTGGGCATTAAGTTTACTAAAACAATATCATCAGTTATTAAACATTAAATATTTTGAAAAGTAGCATAAACTCCATATAAGAAATTTGAAAATATGTAATTTAACATAAAATTCACACATTCATCGTTGGAAATAAAAAACATGTCACTAGACACCAAGGTGATGTCATAAAATCAATACACACCGGCCCTAGCTTGGTTGAGCCCTAATTTAACTAAAATAAAATTATCGATTATTAAACATTAAATGTTTTGAATATATATAAAACAACATATAAGAAATTTGAAAACATGAAAGTAAACATCATAAACACACATTCATCTTTAGAAAATGAAAAATATGTCATTAGTCTCCAAGGTGGTGGTATTAAAATCAATAGGCATTGCCACCTTGATACGTGCAATGTCATACTTTATACTCTCATCTACACTATATTAGAGAATGAATGGTAGACTCTCACCCTTCTAGTGGGTTAGTCAAGTTAAAAACGATGATATGCAATATATCTCTACACCGTAAGTATGCTATAGTACATTTGTAGGCAAATTAGGCTTCATGAATTTGATAGATTAAACATAAATATGTTGTCCAAACAAGCATGAAGGCTTTTGCTAGAACTAGAGAGTACATTAGGAAAAATGTACAAGGCTTGATACCATATGTATGAATGACCATTTTTTTAGGGCCAGAGTAAACTCCCTCCCATTTTGGGCTTGACAAGGTATCCTATAAGATATGGATTTTTTTTGGAAAAAAGGAATTAGATGGCAAGTTGAATTTGGTAAGAGGATCTT